AAGCTAATTTCTCAGCAATTACTTACCCTTACTTTCCAGACAGACCGTCTCTCTGTGTTGCTCGCTGTGTTCTGCACTACATCTCCTCTACGTACTCCTAGGGGGGGAGCTGTTCTGGTGGCCGCAGAGGGAGCTCCTTTGGCGGCCGCAGGGGGAGCTGGCGGTTCTGTCTCTGCTCCCCCTGCCCAGCGCGCCGCTTAATGAGACCGGGGCCGGAATATGACATCATATTCCCACCCCGGTCTCATTAACCAGTGCGCTGGTGGGGGGGGAGCAGAGACAGAACAGCCAGCTCCCCCTGCGGCCGCCAAAGGAGCTCCCTCTGCGGCCGCAGGTGAACCAGCTGCCTGCCCGGCCCCAGGTGCCGACAGCCCACCGGGAAATTTCCCGGTATCCCGGTGGGCCAGTCCGGCCCTGCTTACCGTAAAGCATAACGCTTCTTCCCTTCTATCTTTTCTGGCAGGCTGTGAAGCTAGGAGCTTGATATACTATGTTAATTCATTAATTGCTTTTAAGATTCTGTCCTGACACCTAAGAGGCATGGCTAAGCCATATGTGATGTTCGCATGGAGAATAGCCAGGAAAATAAAATTACATTAAGTATAAAAACTATTTTCTCCTATATATAATATTCTCCAAGAAGATTGTTTTTTTTTTTTAAAACTGTAAAATGCGGTTTAAATTTGTATCAGTGCTTCCTTTGCAAATATTTATACTTATAGTATCTAGATCAGGGGTAGGCAACCTATGGCACGTATGCCATGCAGAGCACTCAAGGAGTCTTTGCACGGCCCTCAAGGCTGCTAGAGCCAAACAGGGTCTAAGTGCGATGATAAAGGCTTACAGCTCATGAAAACCCCAAATCCACAATCTCAGTACATTTGAATATTGTGAAAAGGTGCAATATTCTAGGCTCACAGTGTCCCACTCTAATCGGCTAAGTAAGCCATAACACCTGCAAAGGGTTTCTGAGCCTTTAAATCATGGGTCCTCCAGATGTTGCTGAACTACAACTCCCATGATTCTCTGGCTATGTAATTCAAAGAATCATGGGAGTTGTAGTTCAGCAACATCTGGGGGGCCAGAGTTTGAGGACCCATGCTTTAAATGGTCTCTCAGTCTGGTTCAGTAGGAATCACAATCATGGGGAAGACTTCTGACCTGAGAGTTGTGCAGAAAACCATCATTGACACCCTCCATAAGGAGGGAAAGCCTCAAAAGGTAATTGCGAAGGAAGTTGGATGTTCCCAAAGTGCTGTATCACAACAAATTAATAAAGTTATGTGGAAGGGTAACCTGTGGAAGAAAAAGGTGCACAAGCAACAGGGATGACCGCAGCCTGGAGAGGATTGTCAGGAGAGGGCCATTCAAAAGTGTTGGGGACTTTCACAAGGAGTGGACTGAGGCTGGAGTCAGTGCATCAAGAGCCACCACACACAGACAGATCCTGGACATGGGCTTCAGGTGTTGTATTACTCTTGTCAAGCCGTCATCTGCTGGTGTTGGTCCACTGTGCTTCATTAAGTCCAGGGTCAACGCAGCCGTCTACCAGGAAATTGTGGAGCACATCATGCTTCCTTCCGCAGACTAGCTTTATGGGGATGCTGACTTCATTTTCCAGCAGGACTTGGTACCTGCCCACACTGTCAAAAGCACCAAAGCCTGGTGTGACGAAACGCCTTTTGCCACCGGATTTTCCCCTGGCTGTTGGAGGAGCCTGATTGCCAGCCTCTTGCCTCATGACTAGGGCCCTGGGTTATTTGGCCCTTCAAGTACAATATTTGGGCATATTGGATTTGTATGGTGCTGCTGCTGGCCTTTTAAAAACCATCCCTGGACATATTATGACTTTTAGGAACAATGTCCCTTTAAGACTGTGTAGCAGATTGCATTCAGGCGGTCTGCAATATTATATATGCTATTATGTGTTCGGTAAATTGTAAATGTGTAGGTTCTATGTGATAAATGTAACAGTATGTATTTTTATGTCTTTTGTTGTCCTTTGTCTGCCATGTGGCTAATGGAGTTTTGCCTCTGTCCTTGGAGATAATTGCATTACTTCTCAATTATCTCCAGGATAGGAGACTCTGAAACCAGTTTGGGCCAGATAGCCATGCTACCAGACAGGCCCCAAAAGATACTTGTGCTAACTTCTGAACCCCTGGTCTGATTCATGCCATTTTTAAAAATGTTGTTCCCCTGAATGGATTGATTGTGAATATGTAATTTTATGTGAATGTGATGTATAGTTTTAGAGTTATGAAAGTTGGGTAAAAAGTGTGTTTTAAAATGTATGGATAATTGGGTTCCCTCTCAGGCTAAGGGGAGGAGATGTGTGGGATGTAACCATTGTGTGATTTGTTGTACTGTGTCCCACCCTGTGGGATGTCCCCTTGCATGGGGACCTGCATAAAAGAAGGTTCTTTGTGTGCCAATAAACAGATCATCTTGTACCTTCATGAAGTTTCGGCTCATGTTTGGGGGATTGGAGAAACTACACTCTGGGGATTGCTATAATCACTATACTCCCCAGGGTATAATCACTAAGCTCTGCTAAGAACTTGTTCCTGTTCCTGCTCTCTGGAATTCGGAGAGAGGTCGACCTGCTGGAAGCTGGACCCTGGTCCTAGGTCCAGAGTGGGTGGAGACGGCGAGACCCCAACCAAGCTGCGGCGGTTCTTGGGGTCTGCAGTGGTTATGGTGTCAGGCAGAGTGCTTGGAGTCCTTGGAAAGCACTAGGAGCATCCGTCGGCGGAAGGTACCCGGTCGGGGTGCCAGCGGTTCCGTTACACCTGGTTCAATGACCGTAGGATCACTGTGCTTGACCTGAACCCCATAGAGAATCTATGGGGCATTGCCAAGAGAAAGATGAGACATGAGACCGAATAATGCAGAAGAGCTGAAGGCTTCTATTGAAGCATCCTGGTCTTCCATAACACCTCAGCAGTGCCACAGGCTGATAGCTTCCATGCCACGCCACATTGAGGCAGTAATTGCTGCAAAAGGGGCCCAAACCAAGTACTGAGTCCATATGCATGCTTATACTTTTCAGAGGTCCGATATTGTTCTATGTATACTCCTTGTTTTATTGATTGCATGTAATATTCTAATTTACTGAGATTGTGGATTTGGGGTTTCCATGAGCTGTAAGCCATAATCATCGCGCTTATGACAAATCACAGCTTGAACCATCTTCCTTTACATGGGCGTCTCATATATTAGTTTCCCCTTTTACGTTGCAGTATGCAAATAAATTAACTTTTGCATGATATTCTAATTTTTCCAGTATCACCTGTATATGCACAAATACGATACAAAGCAACTGCAGTATAAATAACACAAGCAGAATACAGCAACATACCTCAATTTAAAAAAAAAAAAAAAACAGGACCAGCACGCTACGGCACATCACAATCTTATTTTGGCACAGTGCTGCTAAAAGGTTGCCTACCCCTGATCTAGATGATATACAGTCCCAGCAGTATATTGCAACACCATACATCACCAGTAAATGCTATGCATTTCTTAAAGAACCCTCTGTTCATATCAAATGTACAATTTATCTTAGACTGGGTAGTGTTACTTTTAGTTTTTGAGGTTATTATATTTACAAAAATATATTCATGTAATCCAATACTCTAAGTTGTGGAGTCTGCAAATCACATTCTGTGGATCCACTACAATCAGGACTGCTTTAAGACACTCCTATACCTGAGCCGGTCATGCCTGAACAGTGGTAAGCCCAATTGACTAGTATTTGTGCTTTTTCTCTAGTCAATTTCCTTCCAGTCCATTTCCTCATTATCTGCTTATCTGGCTGTGGGGGTCTCTTTGATAAAGGGCCCTGGACAAATATCTATATTTGCCATTTGATTATGCAACCCTGACTACAATAGTAATTGTTTTCTGTACAGTATTGTGAACCATGAGTTTGTCAGATATACACATATCCTCAACTGAGATAAGAGTAACGGGCTGCTTTACACGATTTGCAGAAACTGATTTTGGTATTAAAAGGATGCTTAGCCATGCTTTCATTTGACATCTTTACTAGTGAATAGTGTGACACATTTATTATGTACTGATTTGTTTGTGTAAACAGTAATGCTTCTAGATTATGCCTTGGAGAGCTTTTTAAGGCATGGCACAGTGATGCATAATGAAAAATGTCAACTGAAGTTTCACGACCAGAACCCTTCATCATTCAAAACTGTGCAATGTGTATATATACTATGAAATATTTCCTACCTCTACAAAGAAGAGTCAAACTAGTACCAAGCATGGTTTTCAATATACAAAGTGAATGAAGCTTTATAGATTTAAGAATCACACAAACAATTGCACCACTGTTGCCTTTAGGAACTAACCAGAATAAGTTTTTTTAGTACAAAACAGTAAGTATGCTGTAAGATCTAGTGTACTGAAATCTTAAAAGGTTACACAACAACCTGCTGCACCCTGGTGCCATTCCCTGCTAATGGGGCAAATTGGTTTGCAATAGTTTGTCCACTTACCTGGTCTTGCTGGAAGTCAAGGGTCCTCTCCAGCTTGCTGTGAAAAAAAATCTGGCTTTTGCAGAGCTACAGAAGCCGGATGCTGATCCTCTTGGCCGTTTATTAGCTGAGAGCATTGGTTGATCACGCTAAGTCAATAAAATACATTCTGTTCATAGAACTATGCACCTAATTGACATTCGCCAACCTGGAACACTTGTTCTAAGCTAGGCAATGAACCTTAAACTCTCTATGTGCAATGTTTCATAGCAAAACACTGCACATACAGAATTTTAGATACCATGACCATTTCAACTCTGAGTAACAAAAACAATTAATTACACTAATGCGTAAAAAAAAAAAAAAGTGATGAAAAGTTAAACATTATTCTGCCAAATGTCATATTCAATAACTTGTTTGTTTATATTAATGTAATTAACTCATCCATTACAAAAACACTTTCACCTAGCTGTCTAACAATTTGCCCACCTCACAACATAAGAAACATTTGTATCAGATGACCTTTATTATAATCATATTTTAATCACAATTAGACATACAAAGTTTTATTTAGAAAATGGCGTCTATGTTTAATAAAAGTATAAAATACACTTCTATGTTGGCTGTCAGGAATACTGAAGAAGTTCCTCCCAGTTGATGGGTTTCGAAAAGACCTCTCTTTCCAGCCAGAGCTCATACGTGTAATGGAAATCTTCAGGAAGCTCCAACCTTTGCCCCACAACACTCTGCAGACAGTTGTCAACTGGTGTAAACTCCCAACCTGGGTTTTTTTCATACCTCCGGCTGTTGAAGCTCTCAATATTTCCGCGCAAAGTACATTCCTCAGCCTGGAAGTCCCATGGTCTGGCATCCAGATCTACAAGGGAGTAATCTTGTATCTAGTTTAATGTGCATCGTTATAATGCAGATCACAATCAAGCCTAGAAAGAGGACTTGACCACTATTTTTGTCTGGATCTAGTTTTTTGTTTTTTTTCATCTTACGATGTAGGAAGGCATCTTAAGAGTTGATGTCGTTTTACTTCAGAATTCTTGCAAATAAGATTATACTCACCATTGCCGTATGCCCAATCGTCATTCATTCTGTGACGCACCATCTGATAAATTGCAGACATCGTTTTCATGTTGCTTTTCCTCCACTGTCGACCTAAGTATTTGGTCTGTAGCTTAAGTAGCCTGAGTACATAGAGCTGCATCATGGCCTGCTTGACTTTAAGTGCTCGTTTCAAAATGGGGGCAGACTTAAATACCACCAACATCTACAAAAAAATCATAGTAAACAAAATAGCATAAGTTTCAGAAAGGGTTTGATAGGAATATATTTGAACATTACATATGTGTAGTAGATACAATATTTTATAGTATAGTTCCTATAGTGCAAAAAATATCAAGTGAAGGCGCTAATGAATAATTACAAGTGAAAAATGAATAATACCATAAAAGGCAAGCAGCACTAATCAAGTGTAAAATAGCTCCAGAAATCACTCTGTATACCAATAGAAAAGAAAAAAGTGTGCTGTGCCTTTAAGTGATTTGTGCATACATTGATTGGCATATACTCATACAAAAGCGTTTTGCAAGTGTAAAAACTTTATACACTATATAGTGTGTTAAAGTGACCAAGTGATACAATAAAGTGCAAAAAATACAAAGCACTTACATAGATAACTTTTAAAAAAAGGGGGACATATCTTCCCAGATGTTGTATGACTCGGGAGATAAAACAGGGGAGATAAAAAGAAAGAAAAAAATACGTAGTGTAAAATTGACAAAAAAGCTAATGTCAGACGTACAACATCAGGACGCACCAAGTGAGTCCGTATCCTTTGGAAGCTTTGTGCCGTGTTCCAGTGCCCGAACATACTGCAGAAGTTCAACAAAGGTCTGAGGACTGGCCATACAAGGACGGAGCCAACGTGATTTTTATTGTATGCTGCTAATAAAGGTTTGAAAATGATCCAGCTGCTGTCCTACATTCTGATATTTTCTGGGCTATTACAGTGAGAGCAGACTTCTACTGCTCCACTTTTGTGAGTTGATGGGTTTATTTTTATACCATTTCTTCGCTTTTTTGTCAGTTTTACACTATGTATTTTTTACTTTATTTTTATCTCCCCTGTTTTATCTCCTGAGTCATACATCTGGGAAGATATGTCCCCCCCCCCTTTTTTTTTAAAGTGGTCTATGTAAGTGCTTTGTATTTTTTGCACTTTAGTTCCTATAGTGGTTTTAGATCATTGCTTCTTAAACCACTTGGCAAGCACTAACAGACCATGTTATATTAATATCTGCACTGAAAATTAGTTCCATTGTCCTTGTGGACGAGTTTGATAATCACTTGATCTTATGATCAAATATCCTCAACCCAGCAAGTCAATTCTTTCTAGGTGTGTGAACAAAAAATAAAAAAAGACAACATTCTAAAGTGTATTTCTCTATAAATAAATGAGTGCAATCTAGAAATATTATGAAATAGGTCTGTAGCATGGCCATGTTTATCAGCATTTACAAATAAGAGGATATTGGGAGCTCTTTCAGGAATAATAAAAAGGTGGATATTATAAAGTGAACAATATTCAGTTTCTCATAATGACTGTCCAGCCAGCAATGGAAAGATTTACAAAAGTCTTTATTGATGAAAAAAATAATAATAATAAAAAGAGGTTTCATGAAACAGATTAATCCATCCCAGCTAAGCACAGAAATCTAAACCCTATAACCTATGCATCCACGCGCTCACAAGCAAATAACACATGAGAAAGCTTATGAATTCAGCTTCTCATCCAAGAACTGGTACTGCATGCATGCAATAGCAAGGAATACACAATAGAAATCACCTTCTTTACCATCTACTGTGAAAGAGCTGGAGCTACAGTTTTGCCTATTTTAACATTCACATAACTGTGAATGCAGTTATACGCAAGTTGATAAAAAGCCATCCATCTTATCTGGTGTTGACATACATAGTCCATGAACCTCTTCTGGGATGGAGTTCATGGGATACGTTTCACACAAATTAATTAGAAATATAGTATTGATGAGGACAAGAAGCTGTAAATCATGAAACGTTTCTGCAAATGCAGGAATATCAAAGAGGAGTACTGTATATTTTTACATTCATTGTCTATATAATGTATTACAAGTCAACCCAACTTTGAATAACGCTGGAAAAAAAAAAAAAGATATTTAATCAGTAGAACTCCATGTAAATTGTATACATGCATACAGACCATGCATATCTACCATGATATTTGCTAAACAGAGGGCTATTTTTCTAGCTCAGTAAGGGCCAAAAACATGATGAAGTCTCTGCACTAGACACTGACCATGGTACGAGAATGCTTCCACTTTGTAAGTTTATTAAGGATGCGTAGCAGGTTAATACAAGAGAACAGATTCCTCCAACAGAATTGGTTGTTGTCCCCAGTTTCCTACAAACACACAAAAAAGTTAACTATGTAAGCTTAAAAAACAAAAAAAACAAACAGCTGTTCTCTGAACACAGCAGATCTTCGTAAAGCGTGTCATTTTCTATCTTTTTGTAGAATTGGTCTTTCATTTTACAATAACCTATGAAATTTGGTTTCAGTCTGAGTACTGCGATTCCTCATTACATTTCTTTTAAAGTATTTTGTAAATAAACCCCTATATAACTGCACAGATCTTACAAGTCAAATTCCTGTTCATATTTTGTTTTACAAGGTTTTTTCCCCCGATATATTTTATATATATATATATATATATATATATATAATATATAATATATATTTTTGTCACTTCTTGCTTACATGCAATAAATAGCACAAAGTATTTCTTCAAAAAACCCGTGAGTGCACCTATTTTTCTGAGACATATATATATTTATTTTTTATTATTTTATCTGTAAAACCAAATTTTATTACACAGTTTATCTTTAAGACTTTTAAAAAGAAAATTTATATTAAGAAAATAACACAAACAAATAAAAATAGAATAAATAAAAAAGTGATCCAAAATCTGCATGCACTATAAAATCCACAAATTTAACTTTGTACTATTAAAAAAAAATTAAAAAACCTTTGTCAGTAGCAGCACAAATGACACAAACAAGTTTACCCATTATCAATAAAGGATGCTTCTAAACAAAGCATTCTAAAGGACAGCATGATTTTTAATGCAGTCCGGTACATGCTCCATAATTATTCCCATGTTAATAAATAAATAAATCAAAATTACAGAATTAAAGCACACAATTAACAATTTTGGTTCACTTTATAAAATGTAATAAAGAGGAATGGCATAGTAGTTGTAAACCTAGAGGAAACATAGTCCAACCCATTTTTTTTTTTTATAGCAAATTTATCCCTCTGAGAGTGCCAGCTTAGGTCCCCTTTCAGCTATACCAAGTGTGTATTGGATAACAGTTAAAGTTTACTGGCTCCCACAACCTCTTCTGTCACATCTCATACTAGTTACTCTTCCAGACATGCTTAACATTAATCGCTTCTTTACAAAATGGAACAAGAAATTGTTTATGTCGGTAAATTTCAACTACCACTCTTGAAATGGATCACCAAAAATTCTATTTTATACTATACCAAACTCTCAGCGGTCAGCTCTGGCAACTCATGGAGAACACATGATGGAAAATCTAAAGAAGAAATACTAGAAAGAGGAGACATTCAATTAATTAAAGACACATCTTTGAAATTTATATACACACTAGAGAAAAAAAAACAATGATTAAATCCAGACTTACTCTTTCCAAACATTTTTAAAGAGACAGTAATGGTTTGAACTAGGTCCCATTTATATTAACACAGTATTGAATTCAAATGGGTCACATATTTGTCTCCTGTCTGTCTGCACCTGCAATCACCTGTTACTCCTAAAATGCAGGCCTTGTTGCAACAGTACATTGTAATATATAACAGACTAGAGCTAAAATAGAACATACAAACTTAGACTTGCTGCAATGTGCTACTTTATAAAAAAATAATTTATATTAAGACATTACTGACACTTTAATGCATTTTACATTATGATCATATATATTTGTGGCTCACATCTTTGATAACATACTAGGAAATGATTCTAATTCTAACACAAATAGCTTCAACGACATTTACAGTTTTTCTGTATTGGACTCCAAATACACAAAGGTGAACTATTTAACATAATCTGAAGGTCGTCATCTTGTGAGGTCCTCAGGCAATTAATGTTCCATGTCAGTAAAAAATATTAGTGGCCTTTATAGACCATTCACCACTCCCACCTGTTCTTGGCACAGATGTATGACATTATATTCTGATTGAAGAATTTCAGGATCAGAGGGATGCAATTGGCAAACACCAGGTGCTGAGACATAAACTCAAACTGCAAAATATTAAAGAGAGGGACTGATTGTGGCTGCAAATATCTAAAACAAGATCAATACTTCATAAGACATGAATAAGGATGTATGCAACGGTATTGTCTAATTTTTCACGTCAGCGGATAGCACATTATTCAAAAACATATTTATAGACACATTATATCAATTCCTATTAATAAAACCGAATGTCTGGTTATTTAGTGCACTCTAGTGAGGAACGTAAAAAAGCTTAGGGTCTGTAGACTTCCAAATGAACAAGCCGAATATATCAAAGAGGACATATTATTCTAAGACATCCAATAGGTAGGTCTCCAGCTGCTTAGAACTGCAACTCTAGAGATGCTTTGCCGGGCCCAGTCTTTCAGCCACCCCTTGTAACGGCTATCAATATTCTGTCATTCAATATTTCATTTCCAGCAGCACCTTATAGTGGACTAGAGGTTCAGGGAGTTGAACATTGGTTAGGAGCAGGACTATCAAAAGTCTTCTGTGACAGTCTATTTCCAGCATTTATTTTTTTTTTTAAATCACAGTGAAGCTTTATGACGATGTCAACATTGTAACACTAGATGGCGGCAGAAAGCCACCATCATGTTTGTACGAGAGAGAGAGTGTCCAGCAAATATAGGCAGAATCAAGTGTAATAATAATAATAATAATCTCTCTTTGTGTATGATATATATATGGAACAGACATGTTACTGAGCATGAAGAAGAATCCTGTAGAATACTTTCTAGCGCATTCTGTAAAGGTTGGCAGATTCCAATTTTCAAAGCTCACCTGGTAGATGTGGTTTAACTTTAAATGTTTCAGCAGAAGCAATAAAATAGCGGAGACTGTCTTCACTATGATCTCTTTATGGCGATTCACATCAATCCCCAGCTTCATACTCTCTAACACTGTGATCCTGGAAACATGGAGGAATCAGTGCAAATATTCACATTAAACAAAACAAATATCAACACAAAGTCTGCAACACAAGCACAGATGCAGTTTAGTATTAGAATAGGAACTGCAATGTTTTAGATTGTTTATCTATAGTTACACTGGGGTCCCATAGGCTGTGCTGATCTTCATTTGGGTAATGCTGATAGTAAAGTGCTGATAGTTGGACCCTAGTTTTTTGTCTTTCATCTTGTGCTGTATTATCTTGGATGTAGATATGATTTGAATTATGCGGTTTGTAACTTTTCACACTTCACTGAATTTCAGTGTGGGTAGAATATTTGTATTAATTGGTGTTAAGGCGTCTCTGTCACTGTCTGAGATCTTTGCATAATCTGACATTGCGATGGGTGTCCCAGGTGGTGCACGGGAGTTATACTTTCTGAACCTGTCCCTCATAGGCATAGTTAGCTCTTCAGTTCAGTCATCATATGCTCCTGGCTCTTCAGCTGCCAGGAACCGATGTCAGAGCTGTGCACATGCGCGAGTACAACATTGAGGTCTACAGAGAATCCAGTGAGATCACAGGTTCATAAGCTATGGCAAGACTTGACTGCCTTTTTTCAAGCAGAGAAAATATACCAAGACAAATTAGTCCCTACTTTGCCTCATGAGATCTTTTGGCTGGGCTGGATTTTCAGTGAAATGACAACACAATCAATGTGATTATGTGAGCCACTTAAACCAAGAAATTGATTAAAAAGTGAATGCACTAAATTTCTTCCTAAAACAATTTTGGTCAATCCACGGGGTCACAAAGCAAGTTGACTATTTACACAATGCTGGGCACACTCATGCAATACTCACGGCATTTCCTCGGGCAGGACATCAGCTAAAATATTAATAGAGTCAGTCTTAGCTTTAGAGGTAGGAGCAGCAGCCAGAAGGATCTTCAACAGGGCAATCTGTCAAAAGGTAGGATAATTCAACTATACATGTCAAGGAGTGAAACAGAAGTGTAAAGCAGAGTTAAACAAAGTAACCAAACACTAGGGTTTTAAATAACCAGAAGCAGGATATCTCCCACAGTGCTATAGTTTCAAAACTACTGAGCAGCCCATCACATTTGAGGAGGAGAAGATATAGTTTCAATAAATGCATTCACATAGAGTTAGAAAGTCTAAGAATGATAACAATCATGTGCCCAGTGCCAAACGATAAATAATTTGATTCTCTAGAGCAGGCAAAGGCTACCTTCAGCACTCAAGATGTTTTGGACTATACCTCCCATGATGCTTTGCCAGCATTGTGGGGGATGTAGTCCACAACATCTGGAGTGCCAAAGGTTGCCTACCCCTGCTCTAGAGCAAGCATGGCAAACTGTAAGGCTAACACGGGCCAAATAAACATTGTTTAAGCTTATGTGTGCGCCGCAAAAAATCAAACTTCAGTTGCCTAACTGATACTGGACGTCCTCATGTTTGTAGGTCTTCAAAGTAAACAAAAGAGCAAATTTATTTTAAGGAGACGTACATTTGCATATAACCAATGTTTCCGTCCTACCTTGACATATTAAAAAAAAAAAGTTTGGTAATGGGACTGAAATGGTGAATGTATGCTGTTGCAAAGCTGTAAAAAAACAAATGACGTTATTTTGTTGATTTTGAAGTCATATGAGTGTGTTCTGCACTTTGGCTGAGATCATCAGACTACCATAGGGAAGCACTGGGAGGCTATTGTGCATGTGTGGCAAAATGTTGCGCTGCCAATCAGCATCTCCATGGAAAGCATTTAGCGCCTCCATGCAGACTCAATCTAATACACTGCCCCTTCCCCCCATTCTAATACATTGTCCTCCATCTAATACACTGCTCCCAAATCCAACACACTGCCCCTTTCTAATGCACTGCCCTGTACCCCTAATCTAATATACTACCCTCCCAATATTATACACAACCTTCCCCCAATCTAATACACTGCCCCCAAAATCTAATACACAACCATCCCCAATCTAATACACAACCTCCCAGTGCCCCCCCCACTTTAATACACTGCCACCCCCCCCCAGTTTAATACTATGCCCCCTCCCCCAATCTAATACACTGCCCTTTAATCTACTACACTACCCCCCCTCCCTCCACTCTAATTTAATACACGGCCCCCTCTCCCACCACTCTAATATACTGCCCGCCTGCCTCAACTTAATACCTGCCACCTCCCTCCCCTAAGCCCCTATTCCCCTAACCTTAAGATGAGCAGTCTTCCAGTTCCAGCTCTGCTCTTTTCCTCTCAAGCAGGCCAGATGCTCCTCTGCAGACAGCCAGCCACTCTGCATATGACTTCACACGCTCTATGCGCATATCCGGCGGCTGGGGGTGGACCAAGGCTTAGAACCCTTGCAGCCGCTGCAGCACACGATCGGCTGTGGCAAGGGAGACAGGAAACAGACTGGAAAGCTCTTTCCTATCTTGCGGCTGGTCGCAGCCACAGCACAAAGCGGCTCCAGGGCAGGCAGGCCGCAAAGATGGTCATTGTGGGCCGCAACTTTGGCCACAGGCCACAACTTTAACATACTTGCTCTAGAGAAGGCACCAATGCTCACTGGATTAAACAAGGAGTCCCAAATGTCTGTATGGACGTTTTGGTATTGTCATTGTAGTTTTCTGCAAAAATACTCAGATTTGTTATGAAAGTGAACTACCAAATGGTTTCAGTGTCATCCTTTTTGTGTTTAGAGATGAAGAAATTCATTGAAGTTATAATTCGACTTTTCTCAATATAACTTTATTCTCCATATTTTCACAGTGTCTGCATTGTTATGCATTCTTCTGTTACATTTTATTACAATATTACATTAAACATAAAAATGTATGTCAAAGACTTTTTGCGCATTACCAGTTATTTTGTAGTGTACCAAAATCCACTCACCCTTTGACTGATATTAAATAAGATAATCAGGTCTTTCTAAAGATAAATACATTTGCACTTTATTTCCTCTAAAAGGAAGACAAGGGAATGATTCACTTCTTACCAGCCTCTTGATAAAATACGTAACTAGACACGTACACTCTAGCAATTATGTACTTTCTGCGCTAGAGGGCAGTAGAGTACAATTACAGAAACATTTCCAATTCAAGACACGCTTACCATGTAATGAGGTATGTTTAACAGCATTGCCCTGTACAGACACTCACAGGGAGTTTCCTCCACCTCTTCTTCACCCTGCAGCAGGACCAAGATTATTATTATGATTAGCATTTATATAGTGCCAACATATTCCGTAGCACTTTACAATATTATAGGTGGGGAGATTTAACAATAAAAGAAACTATTACAAAATCTTACTGGAACAATAGGTTGAACGGGATCCTTCTCAGACAAGCTTGCAATCTGGGGTTAAATATTTATTTATATTTTAAACACTAATCATTTATCAATATGGTTAATGTATTCTCTGGTGCTGTAGACAAGAGAAATGTGATACCATTAATATGTACTGAACAAGATATGATTTAGAATGCTTAGAATGTATACAAAAGACAAAATTACAACTGAGAGCACATGTGTATCTTTAGCACACATCTAACAGGAAATCAAGGACAATGTAGTACAAATTGTATTAAAAGTGGCAAATTATCAAGATTAGATCTCCATAATAAGCAATGCTGTTCATATGTGAAAATGTCTCTCTTTCTGACACTGCATAAACCGTAAACTTTCACTTGTATACTGTAAGTGAATAATGGGCTTTAGTTATTCTCAGTGATTCCAATGTGGGGATACTGCCAATGATGTAAGAAGCTAGTCAAAAAAATAAAATAAACTGTAGTGAGAGTGCACATCACATAAATGGTATCGATTTAAGCGTGAAGATGGAACCATATAACGTATTACCAGTCCATAGAGTGGACGGGCTATACATCACTGGACAGTGAAATCTTCAAAAGACAAGCCAGAAAGGAATTCGAGGGACAAAAGCTAGGTCAAGGATACCAGAAAGTAGAATAGTCCGTAATAGTCGAGTAATAATCCAGAAAAGACAAATATACTATATAAAACGCACTATTGGGATCAAGAAGGAACCAAAACAGGGCATAGAACCTAACCATTCAGCAAACTATTTATAATATGACTCACAAGGCTTATAGTCAAGCCCCCAAAACATGACGAACTATTGAATCTGCCCTACTGTGACAATGCGCACACATCGCGTTATAAAAGGGGTGGGGTTACAGTGCCCGGATCAGAGGTGCAGGGAAGAGTGCCTTCCTCCATAATGCATCCTGGGTGCCCAGAGGAAACCAGCACACGAGGTACCCAGACATCTGTCAACCTCAGAGCTGGAATAAGGGCAGTGTAAATATGAAAATAACTTAAAGGAACACTATAGGGTCAGGAACACAAACATGCACTCCTGACCATATAATGTTAAAACCACCATCTAGCCCCCTGGCCCCCCATTGCCTCCCTAAATATAGTAATTTTGTACTTGTAATCAAGTCTGAAGCTGCTGCCTCTGCCCTTGAACTGACACTGCCTGCTGACATCATCAGAAGTGGTGGTCTAAGCCAATCATAATGCTTCCCCATAGGATTGGCAGAGACGGTCAAGGAGGCAGATCCAGCACAAATCAAACACAGCCAATCAGCATCTCCTCACAGAGATAAATTGAATCAACAGCAAAAACATGCGAGGAAGGCTGAACTTGATGGACGCAAGTCTCTTTTCAGCTATGTAACAATGAGGAAAGTTCAGTGTCTCTATGCAGAGGGTGGAGACACTGAATGGCAGTGCGGCTTACTCTGCAGCACCGTCCAAGGAAGCAGCTGTAATGTAAATACTGCATGTGTTTTCAGGGAATCCGTATATGAAAGATAAAAACACAACAGGCTTCCAATGATATAGTATGTACTGTGAGAATTAGCGAAATAAGGTAAAATGGAGAAAAATGCACTCACATTTGTTGGAGCTATGGACCAGCTCTTAGTTGTAAAGCACTTAGCGGTATAATCCCCGCTAATGGATATTCTTTAAGGATAGGTCACTCCGTCCAGCTTGGGCAACGTAGAATTTCCCACGGTATATAAAAACAAATATAGTGCTCTCAGTAGGAAGGGTAAACATAAAATAAATTAAAATAGGTTATACTCACAATTGTAGAGCAGGAAATACTGCTCTATTTAGAATGCGCCGGTGGAATAATCCCCACCTGTGGATTGCTTTAAACAGGAACAGTGCTTTACAACTAAGAGCTGGTCCATAGCTCCAACAAATGTGAGTGCATTTTTCTCCATTTTACCTTATTTCGCTAATTCTCACAGTACATACTATACCATTTGAAGCCTGTTGTGTTTTTATCTTTCATATACGGATTCCCTGAAAACTTGGAAGGATTAATCTCGGAGGACTGTTCATACACAGCTTATCTACATATCAGTGAGACGTCTCTTATGACTTTCTCTATTTTTATTAGTGCACAGACTCTGTTGAATTCTTTTATTATATTATCTTTTTTATTATATCTTTTATTGCATTTTTTACTTATTTTATACTTATATATTTTACTTATTTTTATCCAGCGCAGCCCTTCACCCCCCTTTTTTCTTTTTATACTATTTAGGGTTCCTGAGGGATCCCCTTTTTTAGGGTTGCAGCTCTTATCTTTTGCTTTTTAGCGCAGACTTCCCCTCCTCCATTTCTTTTACATTTCAGGGTCTGTCTAGTCGCCCCTTGCCAGTTAGTGCCCGTTAGTGTAGAATGGTAGCCGATTTACCAGGTTTATCACACCAAAAGTAGTTCAGTGTTCGGGAGCTCAAGTTCAGCAAGTCTGCCCTGCAGGGAGATCAGGCTCCGCCCCCATATTGAGCATTTTAGTATTTGAGACCAATAAGTGAATCTATTTTGAGTTGGTTTTCTTTCGTTGCACTTGGTTTCTAGAAACTATTAAATGTAAAACTGAAAATTTGTTTATAAAAATATAAACAAATATTTACAGAGTATGTATGGTGCTATGGGTGGAAAATAGATACAGTTAAATTGAACTGCAGCACTGAACAGGAGCTGGCATGGTGTGCATGCTGGCAAAGGTTGGTACAAGTACAGTGCCTGTGGTACTGACAGTTGTGCGTAAAGTAAAAACAAAATCACAGATTAGAAAGTTGACAGAATGTCCAGGAACCAGAAACCAAAGTCAGCAACAAACATTTCAAACAGGAATCAAGGTCAAAGGCACACAGATTTGAGGAAGCAAGCAGCAATCTCAGTTTCGGGAAAGGAAAAACAGGCTTAACCGGTGTTCTGCTTCAGCATCAAAACAAGTGCCTACATGCTCTAAATAATTCTGCACAGAGTCCACAATGAAACATGGATCTTAAAGGATGTAACAAGAGCTATGTGCAGGATCATGCCCTAGCCCAGTCAGAGCCCAGAAGGGCATTAGTCCTAACTAGCATGAACCAGACATGGATTGTCAAAGATATTTTTAATTGGTTTTCCCTACTTCAAAATGTATCTTAAAGAGATACTCTAAGCCAGGCATAGGCAACCTTTGGCACTGCAGCTGTTTTGGACTACACCTCCCATGATGCTTTGCCAGCATTATGGGTGTAAGAGCATTAGGGGGGATGTAGTCCACAACAACATCTGGAGTGCCGAAGGCTGCTACCCCTGCTCTAAGCAATAAATAGTGTCACTCTCAATTTATTTCTCCTAAAATACATAAAGTATGGACTATTTCGTAATTTTCTCTGACTGACAAAACTTGACAAAAGATGTTTTGTTGGGAATATATTTAGCTTACTGCAAGACTATCTATGGAGGTTCTTGTGGCCTCATTGGATGCTCCATTGACATCAGTGCTCTTGCACATGCACGAGATTAAAGCAGTAATGAGGGTTCCTGGCAGATGAAGTGCCAGGAGCTGAAGAGGACCAGCACGAAGACCATGGCTGTAGCCGCAAGTGATAGGCTTAGGTAAGTAAAACTCCCCTTTCCCTGCAGCCATGGGACACCAAGCGGCAAAGTCACCATTGAGGGTCTAGAGACCTGGGCATAGTGTCTCTATGATGAATTGACTTTTCCAACTCAACATTTTGACATTGTTATTATTAGGCTTTGCAGATCATAGCAAGTTAGACCCTCACCAGTAAAATTGGACATTGCTCCAGCTCCATCTCTTTCTTCGTCTGAATGTCCGAAATGGAAATATATTTGTGCTGAAGGAAAAAAGGAAAATTTTCATTAACTTAAGAATAGATCATACGCTTATATTCACTTATCTCTTGCCCTTCATTGAAAACATTAAATATAGTAAAGAAACAAATGTTATGGCATGGTTTGCAATGCTGTAGGTCCATAATGGATATTCCCCGTTGCCAGTTGGTGGCCACAGACTGCGTGACTAAACAAAGTGATCTATGTGGCTTGTATGTGTGGTTCACCATTGGGTCATACATTTTAATTAAGGGGTGTTTGTAATACAAACAAGTAGAGGATTGGGTCACTAAAGGATAAAATAAAGTAAATAACAACAACAAAATAGATTGACAAAAAAAAAAAAAAACTACCCACACAGATCGGCAAATGATTTTTGAAAGCAAATACATTTTTAGATAACAACTAAATTTTCTAGGTCTGAAAAACAAATCTTAGCACATTTAGTAAACTTTATTGTAAATTATAGAGTAATTACTCTTAATATCATGCTTCATAGAGGTTAGACTACTTGGGGGTCGTGCTAGGATGAAAATACATGTGATGTCATTATGTGGTTGGTTTATAATAAAGCTTCATAAGGACTTATTTTACACAACAGTCTACATCAGGTATAGGCAACCTTTGGCACTCCAGATGTTGTGGACTACATTTCCCATAATGCTCTTACAGCCATCAGGCTGGCAAAGCATCAGTTGTAGTCCAGAACATCTGGAGTGCCGAAGTTTGCCTACCCCTGGTTTTTTATCATGCTATGATATGTACAAAAGGCTCAATGATACTTTACCTGTTTCAGGGTCTTCACACTTTCATGGATAGGACGAGGTAACCCCACCAAGGTGTCTGTGTCACTGAGTAAGGCAAACATTATTAATAAAATGTGTGCAATCAATAAAAGAAAGCTATTTAAACAACACTTTACTGTATTAAAAGAGAAAACAAATGGACACACAAAATAAGATCAGATATCTACTTTCACTCTAAATATGACTAATTATTTATACTGTTAAAAACTGCTAGTATAGCCTTAAAATAACTCTTAAATTATATGATACTCACTGCCCAAGAGTGAAACCGATGAACTTGTGACGACTCATCTCCAAGAAATTTTCAATGTCTTTCTCCCTGACATACAAAACATTCAACATTTACACATCCCAAACAAGTCCACATACTTGTGCTTTTAGTTTCTGAAATTGCTGGCTGAATTGTCAAGTACATCAGAATTCACTGGCTGTTTACCAATTAAAAGGTGGTTCCCAAATGACCATACTTGAGTAACTCTTTAAACATAACACAATGTTTATAAAATTAGATGCCCAGGTTGGTATTACCGATTTATCAGAGCTACTACAAACTTTAGATTTTAGATTGTTCTAACATTATAATGTAATAAAATAAAGCCAATAGCATTCTCAGGCAGGCTGCGAGCCACGCCATGATTGTTTCACCAACAGTCCATCTCTATATACACCCTGTTCATATGCTCTATCCAGCTCACCTAATACCCCTTGTTGCTTTATTATGTATTGTTACTGCATGCTAAATATCATACCTGACTTTAGGTGCCCAGGGAAGGCCCCTAGGGAAGCTCACTCTCTCTGTGTTATTTCTTAGGTTTATCAATGGTTGGGAAATTAAATCCCTCTCCTGCATATCGGCCTCTGTATCCATTATGTTATCTGTGTCCTCATTTTCTTCCTCTTCAGGCCCTGATGGCTCTTCGCTTTTGAAAGGGTCCTTCTCGTTATATAGGTCCAGACTGTCCTGTTTCACAAAATTCCATAATGGGTTAAAAAAACAAAACTTCAAGGTGCCACCTTATCGCCAAACACAACTACAATCATACAAAACACTTTGTGCATAAACAGAATCGCATGCTTTCACAGATCGTACATCTGTATCAAGAAAATGTTCTATTGAAAGCAGAGTTTAACAAAGATGCCACTCGACCCCTAAGTTCATAAAGATGGAACACTACATCGCATCACCGATGCCACTCGACCCCTTCCTGCAAGCGTTGGGCCTCTCCCTGACAGAACACCCACAGCGACCTCCCCCGCAGTCACACCGCTGGGAGGTGGAGAAAATACGACGCTTCACCCCCCTCTAAGGATCGGCAGAGGGGAGCTACAACGGCCCCGACAGGCTGAAACTGTATATACTTTCGTTGACTTTCCATTTCCTTTACACCATTAACTTTGCATACACTATACAGACTGGTGATCACCCACTGAAGCCCAAGCCCCCACAATATCACGACTCACAGTCAAGACTGACCCTGGGCAATAGCCCACACGACAGCAGTTGCAGCAGCCTCTCCCCCCGCTACCACCCTGGTCTCCAGAGCAGAAATGACTGGAGCGTTACCGGTCGTCCAAAGACCTGCAGCGGACACTGGCTGAGATCGGGGAGATGCTCAGTACTGAACACTGTACTGCATTACAATAGCCTCACCGGGCAGACATTGTATGTTTATGTTTATGTTCTTGGTTTAGATCTCAGCTACTATATTACCAGCTACCTGTTATGCCACATGTCGGCTGACCGACATAGTCTGCCCTCTGTAGCTTTCAACTCAGCCAGATCGCAAGGCACACTATGTTCCTACCCCACGGCACTCATAGATCACTGATTGGCATCCCTCAGTCCGGAAAGCAACACATGCAACCTACTTCACACCTACATAACTTTAAACCAGTATAGCCCTCACTAGCACATCCTGCCACAGCAACAATTAACTTTAACAGCACTAAACATACATTACCCTGCTCTGCTCAATCTTGCAGCTTACCTTGTATGTTCAGCAACATAGAACAATACCTAGAGAAGCAATGTTATCACATATAAAACTGTGCAATACCCACGAACGTCTAACTACTGTCATGCTCAGACGAAAAAAAGCTTACCTAAGCTATAGTGACAATGTAAGCCAGATGGGATCTCCCCATGCACAAATTTCATATCTCCCTACGCTTATTTCTTGTATACACCTAATGAACATACACCGGCATGTGAGCAAACTGTTAGCTAGTGCCTGATAAGCATTAAGGAATTAAGCGTAAAGGCAATCCACAGCAGTATATGTGATAGACAGAATTCGTGCAGTGAGGCGCAGCTAGTTAGCGACTCTTCCTACTGAAGTAACTACCTGCATAATTAATTAATATTACTCTGTGAAAGCTCATAACTAATCTTCTTTATCTCGCTTTACAAAACTTACTTTTCCTTTTAAAAAAAACTGTGCAAAGTATTTCCATGCCATGCACCAATAAACAGGTTTATGATTTGTCTGCTGATGCTGTCGTGGCATCGCAAACGTGGATGCAACTACCTGCACTGCAAAATAAAGAATATATTTAAAAAAATTTTTAAAAAGGAAACTTTAGACACCAAAACAACATTGGCTTAAATGAAGTAGTTTTGGTGTATAGCACATGCCCCTGCAGTCTCACTGATCAATTCTCTGCCATTTAGGAGTTTTGCTTCATATTGTTTATGCAGCACTTGCCTGTGACTTACATAGGCTAGCTAAGCACTTCCTGTACAGGGAGATCTAATGTTTAAACTTCCTTTATTGCACAGTCTATTTAAGTTTACATTTCTTATCTCCTGCTCTGTTAATAGCCTTCTAGACTCTACAGGGGCCTCCTGTATGTGATTAAAGTTCAAATAACAAATCAGGAGATTAAAAACTTATAAAGTAAAGAAACATGTGATTAGAATTTAAACCATTATTTTTATTTATGTTATTTCCTTACATTTCAGACCAGAATAGTAAAAGTCTAGTTTCTGCGGTCAGTGGACCTAATCTTTGAACCAATGCTTTGTCTAGCTGGTTTATTATCACTCCTAAAAGAAAATAAGGCATTGACTAGCAGCATGTGTCAGGTTATGCTACGGATTATTTATTTTTACTTTTCTACACATCTCCTGGCGCATGATTGTTCATATTGCATATATTCTTCTACTCATGCCATGTTTTCTTGTGTCTCTACTCAGATTAGTAACTCTCTTGATATCATAAAAAATTGTGCAGTAATCTCAATGTCATGCCTATGTTCTGCTCTGTTGATATTATTGTGCTTGCTTTTGCAGTCATGGCATAGTAGGCTGCTTTGTTATCATATGTACAACAAAATTAAAGAATACATATTATTTACTTTTTTAAATTAAACCATTTTTATTAATGCAGACTGTGTCAACCACAGCCAAAGAGGTGTGGCTAGGACTCAATAAACAGAAACAAAAGTGATTTAATCCCTTAAATGGATACTCCAGGCACCCAGACTACTTCTGCCCATAGAAGTGGTCTGGGTGCCAACTCCCACGACCCTTAAACCCTGCCATACCATGCCATAAACTTCAATATTTACCTTGCAGGGTCCTCCTCTAGTGGCTGTCTATCAGACACGAAAAGTGTTTAAACAACGCTGGACGTCCTCACGCTATGAGATAATGCTTTCCTATGGGGAGGTCTAATGCGCGTGCACGGCCATTGCCGCACATGCGCATTAGGTCTCTCCCGCCGGCTGACGGGGGAGAGAGTAGGCGGAGCCTGACCAGCACCAAGGGACATCGGCGCTGGACTCCGGTAAGTCACTATAGGAGTTTTAACCCCTTAAGCAACTTGGGATGGGGGTGGGAGGGAGAGGGGCACTACAGGGTCCTGCAGTTCCATGAAAACGAATATGTTTTCCTGGCACTGGAGAATCCAGTGCCAGGTAAGTCCCCGCACTGCGATCGCCTGCGAGCATGTAAGTGCATAGGACGGCGGGGACGTACTATGCCGCCCGCCGGCATTTAGGACCAGGTCCCCAAGGACGGCATAGTACGCTCGCCGTCCTTAAGGGGGTTAACTCATAAATGGCAGATAATTGAGCCGTGAGACTGCTGGGGCGTGATCTATACACAACAAACTGCTGCATTAAGCTAAAGTTGTTTTGTCTCCTTTTAACAATATCCCAATGTCAATGAAAAGCTCATGTGTCTTGAGGAAAATAAAAAAAAAACCACAAGAAAATAAAAACTTACCCTCCGGCTGCGCCGACCTCGTTTCTGCTGCTCCCCTAATTCTATGCCATAGGAGAGAGGTGACATAGCCCTCATGTTTTTCATCACCTGAATGCTGTCTTCGGGGAGTGGTGGAAGACCCAACTCAGATCTTTTCTTCTCCTTCATCTTCTGAAGCTCTGAGAATCCTCCAAGTGTGAACTACAAAGGTAAAATATCAGGGAGACTTGGAAAGAATGACATATAGGGCTCTGTATCCATTATGCTATCTGTGTCCTCATTTTGTTACTCTTCAGGACCTGATGGCTCTTCACTTTTGAAAGGAACATGGGAAAAAAAATAAAAATACATGGCGTTGCTGCTTTAGGAGACTGATGAACATCCAAGAATTTTGCATTGGAATGCCTGTGATTGGGTAGCCACAGAAATTCCGAGTTAGAAGAGAAGGGCTTGCAAAGGCTTCAGACATGGGATCTGCAGCTTTCGCAAGAAATATTTAGCTATATCCACAGTAAAAAAATGCCTAACTAAATACCTACTAAATAATGATGTTTTATTTATTAATGTGTTGGTATTTGGTTTGTGGAATGTCCATTTTAATCGGATAGACATTTTTTTTTTATAAAGGTCATTAGATCATTTAATTAAATAAATATTAATTCAATTATTTAAAGTTTCAACTATGTGAAACAAAGTAGAAATATATATATATATATATATATAAAAAAAACAACAATCCCCAGAGAATTGATAGGGTCCATGAGTGCAATACAAATACAAACTAGAACTTGAAAGTAATTTAAGTAAATAATAACCATACCAATATCACTTTCCATAGCAACAACAAGACCTTCTTCATAGGAAAATGAGGAGAGTGACCACTGCAGAACTTGGTCACCATTGTGAAAAGAAGATGAGCGAAGGGTTCATCACTATGTACTGGGAAAGCTGAGAGAAAGTATGACAGCATGTAAGCATAGAACCACATTTGTATCTAGGATAAGACTACCTCATTCAGACATTTCATAGCAGTACAAAGTCTTGTACTAGGAACATATTTTTATAATGGCACTGGATATCACTGATGGTTAACATAGTAATGAGAAGCAATTATGTTCTTACTTTCTAATAATTAAGATCTTTAGGACCGAGGATGTAATAATTATTTCATAACAACCATCTCTTTTAAGATTGTATATTAACCTGAAGGCTATTACTCATTTAGCGACAAATAAACTGTGCTAAGTAGCAAATACTAAATAGGCAGAATGTTCCATGTTAATAAACAGTTTATAACAACCCTATTGCATTGATGGTTTGAAATTGAATTTTGTGTTCGGGGGTGAATTATAATGATCCATAACATACACTTGAAATACATAAAATAAATATTTAAATACATACATTTAATAGAGGTCTGTATAAAATGGAGGTACAATTTCAGACCTAATCTGATGCACTTTTCATTAAAAAGTTCTACACTGTACTGTCTATTTCTCAAAATTATTTATTAAAGGAGCACTATAGTGCCAGGAAAACAAACTCCTTTTCCCGGCACTATAGGGTCTTTAGGTCTCCCCCCACTATCAGGGTCCCTCTCCCGCTGGGCTGAAGGGGTTAAAACACTTACCTTTCTCCCTCGGCGCTGGGGAACTCTCCTTCTTCTGCCGACGTCAGCGTCGAATGCGCGGCAAGAGCCGTGCGCACATTCAAACCGCCCATAGGAAAGCATTTCTCAATGCTTTCCTATGGACATCAGCGTCTTCTCACTGTGATTTTCACAGTGAGAAGTGCGGAAGTGCCTCTAGCGGCTGTCAGTGAGACAGCCACTAGAGGCTGGATTAACCCTCAGTGAAACATACACGTTTTCAGCTGCAGGGTTAACACTAGAGGGACCTGGCACCCAGACCACTTCATTGAGCTGAAGTGGTCTGGGTGCCTTTAGTGGTCCTTTTATGTTCATTGGCTTGTAAGTCACATACACTTTTTTATAACACATGCTGAACACAGGACATTGGATAATTCAGTGGAGTTCATTTACTCCAATGCTTGAGCTTTGCCTGTTCGTATAGAATGAAATTCATTTGGTTCTGGACATAGTAGCCAGATCCCAGCACATAAAATCACCAATCCAAACACATCAAAGCAAGACATAGATTACCTAGCTCTGCACGAAATGTTTCCCGTTGGACATTCCATTCAGAGTCATCGCTCTCAAGCTCTTGACGTATGGTTTCAACTAGAAGATACTTAACACTCAGGATCACTCTGCATAGGGAGACAGATAGGGAGACAGAGGAAAAGCCATTTAGCACTGTACTTATGAGAAGCAGAAAGCATAGGTTAACATCACATCACTTAAATAAAGTAATATACAATGTGCAGGCTTCTTCTACAAATATTTATCCTAGAAGCCTGCTTACTCAACAACCCCACCAACTCCAATGGAAAAAGGTCCATAGAATGAGAGAAAACCAATCAGGCAATGTTGGATCCCATTTTCTCTGACTATATGGGGCCCTGTATCCAGTCATAATAAATGCAAGATATTTTCCTTATCAAGGAAGTTATACAGATGTGTTCCATGTGGTGGTTGGATACAAAGCAAGTATGAAGGTAGGAGCACTTGATAAATTCACAAGTTTGAGCAACGTACTATATTACTTCCCTTTTAAAGAACTGGGTGATCTCCATCTTTACTGGATTAAGTTACACTGTAGCAGGCGGACAATATGCTGCAAGAGCAAATCTCCAGCGGATCAAGAAAAAGCAGTGAAAGAATAAAAAAATAAAAAAAAAGTGTGGCTCTCAAAAAGTATGCTTCTTCTAGATAAAAAAAAAAATGTGTTCACATAACGGCTCGACACTATAGCTCTCTACAGCGCTCGAGGGCCTTTTTCTATCAACATGCCAACAAGGGAGGGAAACTACTGGCCAGAATGATCAGAGGCCCCCAAGGTATGACCCAGGTCCATAGGATACGAACTTCAGACGGCACGGTCACACAGTTCCCAGACAAGATAGCGTCGGAGTTCCGCTCGTTTTACACTTCGCTGTATAACATCCCGGGGCCGACACTCCCGGAGGAGACGGCTGACAGATATGATAAGATACAGAGCTACATTGAATCCCACGTAGGGACACGACTACTCCTTGGGGAGTCGGAGAGCCTAGATACACCGATCACAGAAGCAGAAGTAGCGGGAGCCATCAAGGTCGCCAAAATGGGCAGCGCACTGGGACCTGACGGCTTTACTCTAGACTACTATAAAAAATTTCAAACCATATTGCTCCCGAAACTCACCAACGCATTCAACGCGCTAGTGGATGGCGCCCAACTCTGACATGAGTCCCTGGCGGCAACCATAACAGTCCTCCCGAAACCGGGGAAGGATCCCGAATTATGCAGTAGCTACAGACCAATCTCACTGCTGAATGTGGATGTGAAGCTTCTCACCAAGATTCTATCCACCAGAATTGGTGCAATACTACCGAAACTGGTCCATCCTGACCAGACGGGGTTCATCCCCAGGAGGGAAGCAAGGGACAGCACTCTTAGGGCACAGTCCATCCATCACCTAGCAAAATGGTCAAACGATAAACTCCTACTACTATCGACGGATGCGGAGAAAGCATTTGACAGGGTGGACTGGACGTTCCTCATGGCCACGCTTCGAGAACTGGGCTTCGGAGAGAACATGTAATCATGGATTGGCGCGTTGTACCAATGCCCCAACGCAAAAGTGAAAGTGAACGGAGCGCTTACAGAGTCTTTCCCAATCCGCAATGGGACGAGACAGGGATGTCCGCTATCTCCCATGCTCTTCGCTCTGGTACTCAAACCGTTCCTAGAGGCAGTACGCACCTCAGAAGACGGACTTGACGCGGGGGCAGCTCTCCTGCACTCCACACCTGATACTATAGGGACATATTGGAAAAACATTCGTAGAGACCTGTTGAACGCTGCCAAAGCACTAATCCCACTATACTGGAAACAGACGGCTATTCCAACAATAGCACAATGGATGGAGCGGGTGGAAAAGATATATGGTGCAGAATCAACACAGGCCGCCCTACTGGGTCTTAAGGACAAACATGTGGAGCGCTGGCGCCCATGGCTGCTCTATATAGCGGATCGAAACGCAGACAGGAATGAACCCCAGAGGATCCAAAGACCACCACACCCCCTCCTGGACAGAGAATGAGACCCGATACGATACCCGCGGTAACCACAGGCACAGGCAATGGGACCTCCTAACCCACCACACCCTCCCCTACCCATCCCTTCTTCAACATCCCCCTCTATACTTTTCCTATTTCTCTACTATCTAAGTTATCCAACGATGATGCATAAACTGACTGAATAACTGATGCAGTTCAACTCAACGTGAGGTTACCAACAGATACACTACATATTTATTCACAATAATTTGTCTAGGGGCGAACACTTCAACCACAATATCTAGGAACATGAACAGGGTAAACATATATACAAACAGTTATTGACCTCCAAAGTGGGCTCAATAACCTCCAACATCTTACTGGGGATGAGGCCTGCAGGCGATAAGGGGATAGTTAAGGTAATCATACAGCTGACTCAGCAAAGACGTCGACCTACCTAGGGAACAGTATGGGGAAAGCCACCCCAATGACATAAGATGATCTCCCAGGACAAACAGACCTCAATAATAGACCGCCCCGAAGAAATCAGACATGCACATATTACCCAATTAGCTAAGACGGAGACAACTTCTAATAACCCTACTGGACACAATAGGACACATTCGACCAACAAGACAGCTTACCCGAGCATAACCTATTACACGACCATGCACGCCCTTTAATAACCCTCATATCCCCCACGAAGCACAGTCCAATGCTTCAGAAAGTTACTATGAAAACCTCCAATAAGCCGAATTCAGTCTACGACCTATAATTATACCAATTCATAATAGCAACCTTAGCACCCTCTTGACTAAACCAGCTCGATGTACACATTTACTCTAAGGTTCTGTTTACTAACATACCACTGTTTAAATGTTGATCATTGAAATTTCGCAGGGACCTGCGTGTCTGTTATTTCCTGTTTGATTGTCGCAGCTATGAGTTGATTACTCAAATTTTGCTGGGACCTGCGTGTCCATTACATTGTATTTTACTGCTGCAACTAATAAACAGCTTTGAGAACTAAAAAAAAAAAAAAATGTGTTCTGAATGTGACCAGCCATTTCAATAGGAAATTTTTAGGTAGCCGGTTACCCAGTGGTAACGGTCACATCTACTACTTGAAACCTTGTAATAGTCCATGCAGTCTGAGAAAACAATTTAAACAAGAACTGTGTGTTTATTTATGAGTTTTTAAAATAGGAATAAATAACAAGGAGGAAAGTTATCAAAGTGTTCTGAAAAGTATCTTATGATTGGTCTTGAAACCGTTTCAATTTGATAAATAGTTCTAAAAATGGTCTTTAAAAAAAGTTGTTTTTTTTTCCATAATGTTGACACTTTTCACAGGAATATGCATGACTGACGAATTTAGAGTGGTGAAAAAAACAGTGAAAATAGCATACTTTAAAAATAATGACGGTAAGTGCACAGAAGACAAAAAAACACAAACTAAAGAAATTGTGCCAAAAAGGAGCAAAATTAAACTTTGTAGTTATCAACTCTCTAATCAAATGGGCCACACAACATTTGCAAGTCACCCTGTGTGTAACATAAGAAGCAGCAAACTTATAGTATAATTAATACAAGTCAGAATTTGGCCACACTTGAGAAGCTATCTCTCACGGGTTGTGAAGAATCAGAAGTTGTTCAGTCATATTCCCAGATATTGTAAGGTTTTTGGCATAGGGAATGTAACAAAGGAAAGATTACAATATGCATCATCAACCAATGTGTAACAGTCTACAGAATCAAGTTAAAATGTAGCATTGCCACTTCACGTGATACGGTATTCCTCAGAGATTAGTGACACAATTGCTTTCCTTCAGTATCTGAATAGTACATACTGCAGGACATCACGTATTTCGTATAGCCCATCATTTATATATAAGTGATATTCCTCTATTAAACACTGTGGACCTGGCAAATCTATTTAGTGCTATAAAGAGACAATCATTTGTATGTAGCGTGAATGTCCAGTGTATGTAAACTGTGCTCTGACAAGTCTGCATTGCTTTAGTGGGACTCCGTACCCAAAAGGATATTATTATGAACTAGATGAATTTCGTGCAATTTGGACATTCAGATGCTTACGAATGTCCGAAGTTCAAAATGCCGAATTTCTGAAGTGCTTCGGATTTATGAAAAGTGGCAAAATAAGAGGTTACGATTAGGGTCCGAATTACAAAAGTTCCAAATTGCCGAAGTACACAAATTTTTTTACTCACCCGAATTTCCGAACCCAACCAAATTTTTTGCCCATGAACATCCCTATTATTTCTTTAAAATGTGACAAGCTATGTTGATAGTCATGTTAGAATCCAGCACAGGCTGAGTTATATTTTGTAACTCCAGCAAACAGATGCAGGCCTAAGAAAAAGCTTTTTATCAAAAGGAAGTGAAAGTCTTATCAATTGCCAGACCACACATCAAGCTACAGATTAACACGCAAATGTGACTGCTAAAGACATGGTGAAATATTTCACACACCCATATTGATGACATACCAAGAAAAAGACAGCATCTTTTCTATAGACACTATTCAGGTTATTACCTAATGTCCAAAGGCCTCTGTCCAAATTATCAAAAATAATCTAGTACCTGCTTCAGGTAATTTATCTTGATTTTGCAATACTGCCTCTGAATTAGACTGGATTCCAGTTTATCGACGTGCAGCAAAACAGATAAAATAGAAAACCAAATACTTTAATTTTTTTTGAGAGAATTGAATTGGTCATTAAAGTACTATTAAAAATCACCAGACACCTTCAGTGCAATGAAATGGTCTGGGTTCAGTGGTCCTTTTCTAGTAATCCTGAAATGTAAAACTGCAGTTTTTTAAAAAAAAAAAAAGGGAGTCAATAGTACTTTGAACCAAAATGGCATCACTAAAAAGGCCTGCACATAATCTTACCTGAGCTCCGTGCTGTCTGCTAAAGATAAAGCTGGCTTCCTTAGAGCACTGCTACAGGCTTGACTATTCCTGCACAAGGGAGAGAAGGAGATTAATACAGTTCTGTATATTCATGGTTGGGAGAGGAAATTAAGTTCAAATTTTTTTCCAAAATCTGCTTTAACCCAGAATCTTTGATGGCTGGCTTTGACCAAGAAAATTCAAGAATTCACAAATCACTCTGTTTGGAGGGAATGCTCATTTATTGAAATATATGCCTTTACCGCACCAGTAATGAGATCACTCCCATACTGAGGCTTAGTTACAGTGTTTTGTTTTTTTTAAATTTAGTTTTGCCTTGTATCATTTTTGAGCATCTTTTACAAATAAAATGTACTATTTCTAGAAATAAGAAATTATTATGCATTCAGAAGCAATCATGCATATGTTGCCAATTTAATCTAATTTACGAACCATTTACCAAATGCAATAAGGGACTACAAGAACAATGCCATTTTTTAGATCATGCATAAATAGTGCAAATTGAGATACCCAATATTGTGCAAGGAGATAATGATAGTGCCAAACCGTGAGCTCCACTAACTCATCAGGAAAATAAGGGTCCCTTTCTCATCACATAACATCTCGATATACAAAACTCTTATTTGTAGTATGTGTCCATTCCAAACAGAGTTCAAAATGAGATTTGAAATGACAGATTACCGGTACATTAGTAAATTAATCCTTACGCAATTTCCATGTTTAATAGTTCGAGAAATGCCGCGAATGTTCCCATCTGGTAAAGGAGAAAGCAGTTATATCGGGACCAGTGTATGACATCCGCCTCACTGTCACACTCTCCAAACACGCCTGGAGGGAATAAAACATGGCTGTTAGGCCGCTTACCCATGTTAATTTAGCTCCTGCCAAGAGCAGACGTCAAACAAATGAATCAAAACAATATGACCAATTTAGTATATTGAGAGGGCCATGGTGCAAGGGCTGTACATATGAAACACCGCACATACTGAGATATTACAGATAACCACAATAGGTGTAACTCCACCTCTGACAGCTTTAATTAGCCAGATGGGAATGAGAGTTAATTCTTTCCAAAAATTGTTCATTCTGTTCTGAACACTCAGCTGTTGCTCTCAGAACACAAATGAAAGGCAGGATCAGAATCTGATTACGACCTCTCTGCAGACATTGGAGATGACATCATCCTCAATTTATTGATGCTTGGTGCCTGCCAGGACCCAAGTAAGTGGCAAGTCATTGCAAAATGGTTTGCCCCCCTTTCAGGGAATGGTGTCAGGCTGTAGTACATCTAATAATGTAAAATCTACTGTACTTAAAATACATAAGCAACCACCTGACTATCCTAAGCATGAGCCCAATGCCCAGCTTCGATAACATTCACTGATTTAAGCTAGTAGACAATGTGACAAAAGGCTTATTAAATTTTCAAGCAAATTGGAAGAATGGGCACTGGTTTTATCCTGAAAAATTATAGACAGCATTTTATCCAACAGCCAACATCTGATCCAACGTGATATTTTTAAGAAGCTTAAAGGACCGCTATAGTGCCAGGAAAACATACTCGTTTTCCTGGCACTATAGGGTCTCTCGGTCCCCCCCACCCTCAGGGCCCCCCTCCCGCCGGGCTCTAGGGAGTGGAAGGGGTTAAATTTACCTCTTTCTCCAGCGCCAGGCGGGGAACTCTCCTCCTCCTCGCCGTCATCGGCTGAATGCGCATGTGCGGAGCAGCGCGCACATTCAGCCAGTCCATAGGAAAGTATTCTCAATGCTTTCCTATGGACGCTGGCATCTTCTCATTGTGAGAAGCGCGGAAGCGCCTCTAGCGGCTGTCAATGAGACAGCCACCAGAGGCTGGATTAATCCTAAAGTAAACATAGCAGTTTCTCTGAAACTGCTATGTTTACAGCTGCAGGGTTAATCCTAGATGGACCTGGCACCCAGACCACTTCATTAAGCTGAAGTGGTCTGGGTGCCTATAGTGGTCCTTTAAAGGTTTACTCTTAGTATCATAACCCCTAAAGAGGGCAGTAGTAATTATGATGCTTTGAGTACCCTGGCCCTGTTTCCCAGTAATGAGCCAAATCAATGGTTTGTCCTTTTACCTGGGTCCCCACTAGGCGGCGAGTGTCTTCAATGGCCAGTGACAACACCCAGCTTAAAGACAAACGGTGTACATACAGACTCTGAAATCTCTGAAGTGGACATGATGCTTGTAGTAACGTTTCAAAAGTAACATTAAATTAAAAAAACAAATACATCTAAAATTAAAACCGTTTGATTGGACTGCATTGTGGACACCTTGGGTCAAAATCAACTAAATACTCTGTTCCAATTTACAGTGCAGTGGATGATCCTGCCACTGTTTCAGATTACCTTGTGCTAGGTACAGAATAGCTCTAGCTGCTGAGAGACGCTTTTCCCTGTTTACGACCTCTAGATCATCCAGCAGACGCATTATGTGAGTTCTGTGCTGGGCAGAGCTTAAGGATGTCCATCTGATGTTCTTCACTAAAGAGAAGAGACAAATGATGTGAAAAATTAGGCGGACACTCTTTTAGTAATAGCACTGGACATTAAAAAAAATAGTAAGGACACAAGCAATACTCCAACCAATATAAAAACCAGAACAGAAATTATAAACAGTGCTGCAAAATGTGGTAAATTTGGTGTTAGAAATGGTAGATTTATAGAAAAACACTGTATTTCTATATTGATGGCAAAGCATCATACGGTACTAATTTTGCTCAGAATAGAGAAATGCTGCACTCCTCACTGCAGTACATGCATTAAAGCATTAACTGGGAGAGGGAATGAGGAACAAAATGACAGCTTTGCTTTATTCTAAAAACACAATGGAGGGGGAGGGTGGGGGAGGGAGGTGGCGGACTGGTCAAATGCAGATAGTTGCAATGTTACCTTGACTGGTAAAAGCTTCTTCAAAGCACTTTTGGTTCAGTCTTAGTTCTGGTTCTTCTGTGTAGCTGTACAACTCTTAAGAGAAGAAAATATTGCATTAATTAATATAAAGCATTCCTTAATGAATGATGTGTGCTTATTAAGAGCTCACAACACCCCTCCACATAGAATAAAGCCTTTTTCTGCAGAGATGGAATATATACTAGTGTTATACATCACGGCCTTGTAGAATTGAGAACTCTTAGATGCATATTTCCATTATGAAGCTTCCATTTTTGTAAGGGAGTAAGCATGCATATTATTCCCCTATAGATACACGTTTGGGAGTCAGGATGAAAGTACCCAGCAGCACACTATCAAACAATGGTCTGGATGTGGGGGTTGACGGGCCAATAGTGGATTTGCTGGTGACGAGTTATGTCACTAGTTATGTCCATGAGGGTGGGCTCCTGAAAAACATGCATGTCAACTTGTGACAAACAAAATGGGCAGTCTTGCTGTAAGGGCCAAATAATCAATGGGCCTGATTAAAATCTAAGATCCTTTTAAATAGTTAAACTTGCATCTTGTCAAATTTATGAAATGTTGCTTGTGTGGTTGGAAACTTTTGATACTCAGTTTGAACCATGTCTTCTCATGCCACTTCCTTGCAGGTGCAAATTGTATTCCACTTTTACTTTTGTAATGTATAAGTGTTTCTATAATCGGTTACTATTTGTGCTGATACTGGAAAAGTACCTAACCGCACGTCTGCGCCAAGTTTACGACCCCGACTGTCAGTATTGCAAACTCTATATTGAGATGATGCTTTCACATTTGATGTTAACAGACCCCCATGATTGGTTGATATTGCCATTGAGGTAGTCACCCCTAGACAAACTGTGTTTTATATATATGATGTACTTCATGAAACCTTTTGAATGCTTATTGATAATCCATCCGAGTGGTGATTTCATTGAGTATTCCCAGCGCGGATTAGAGAGACAAGGGAAGCAGAAACGTGTTAGTGCATAAGTCCATGGCAGCGTAAGGGATTCCAGACCCTGTGGTGATTTTCAGCCAATATTTTGCACTTCAGATTTCTGGGCTACATCTCCCATGATGCTTTGCCTGCATTATGGCTGTAAGAGCATAATGGGAAAATCATAGGCGTGCGCACAGGGTGTGCCGGGTGTGCCTGGGCACACCCTAATCCCCACGGCACGCCTATGGAGTGAGACCGGCAGGGAAGATCTCAAGATCTCCCCTGTCGGCTCATGCAGAGCCGGCGCTATCCGAGCGTCGGCTCTTCTCTCAGCCTCCCTCCCCACTGCAGCATGGAGGGAGGCAGGAGAGGACCCAGGGAGCTCAACCAGCAGCAACTCCGGGTTTCCAATCAGATCTCGTGAGAGTGAACTCTAGCCCCACAGGGGCTAGAATTTACTCTCCACTGCACCACCAGGGAAAGCAGCAGGAACAAGAATCTCCCCTCCCTACATAAGGTAAGAAGGGAGGGGGGATATTAAGTAATGTACCCCCACCTCCACAATCACCCACAAACACACAGCACACACACATACAGCACCCACACAAACACAGCACACACACACAGCACACACACACATATAGAATCCTCTCACACACACACAGCACCTTCACACATAGAGATCACACATACAGCACACACACACATACAGCGCACACACACATACAGCCCCTGCACACACATGCAGCACCCACACACACATACAGCACCCACACACAGCACACAGCACCCACACACACACAGCACCCACACACATATAGCATCCTTGCACATACAGCACCCACAACCATAAAGCACCCTCAAACACACAGCACCCTCTCACACACAGCACAGAAACAGCACCCTCACTAAGACACACACAGCACCCTAACAAGACCCTAACGAACACACACAAACACCCTCTCACACACACACAGCACCCTCACACACATCACACTAACAGCACCCTCACACACAGCACCCTTACACACACACACACAGCACCCTTACACACACACAACACCCTCAAACCACCCTCACACAGCACACACAGCAGTGTATATGTGTATATATATATATATATATATATATACACAGACACATACATATACACGCGGCGTGTGTTTGTGCTTTAGGGTGCACACCCTAATGCAATAGGCTGCGCACGCCTATGGGGAAAATGTACATCTGGGTTGCCAAAGGTTGCCCACCCCTGCTACATGGTCCTAGTGCTCTTAGCACAGCACAAACATGTCATTGATGCACTTGTGCTTCACATGCTGTGGACAGTTTGCCGTTGTCCCCAGATGCAAGACCACAGGGCACAAAATAGAATTAACAGGACTGTACCCTTCAACCAGGACTGTCCTTCCTAATGCACATCAGTTCTAAAAGCCTGTAATTATGCTGTTCATTATTATTTATTTTTTTTATTACTCTTTAAGACAATAGTGCAGCCTAGTTGTGTAGCTTATAACCAGCACCTTTCCTAAAATCAGGTTTACTTATGTGAAAAAACGCACTTTGAAAATGGAGCAGGACTCGTTCAAATGAATGAATCTGCATGTACCTCTAGAAAATAAGTCTAGTAGACAGGTAGAAATGAATACTTAATTAAAAAAAAAATAATAATAAAAATAAAGTCATAAAGGCCACACAAATAGCCAGGTTCCTTGAGGATAATAAGGAAAGAATTATTAAAAATATAGAAAGATATTATACAGAGTACATAATGTAATCAAATTTTTCAGAAAGGGCTGGTAAGAAAATAATGAAGAATGCTAAGTAAATAAGAATTGTATCACAGGCAGAAGGCTCACATTGTGATAAAGATCATCTTTCTTTACTAAACTTCAGCAGTAAAGAAAAATACAATAAAGTTTGAACAAATACAGAAAAAAAATAATCAAAAGAGATAACAGAAAAAGACTGTATATAGAACCAAAGAAGAAAAGACTAAACCACTAAATAAATGCATGATAAAAACCTTAAACCAAAGGAAACAAATATGTATACAAACAGTGTGGGGTTTGAATATAGTCATCGCATATTTAATCATATTTAAACCACCACACAATTGTCCCAAGGAATTAACATGTTGCAAAACCCGACAGAACAATTTCTGATTGGTTTTGCCAATGTAATGTAGTCATTAAACGCAAGTGATTAAATAAATCATATTTGGCAAGCTACAGGTCACAAATGCATTAACGGAGACATCTTTAGAGGTCTGATTACAGACCGCTGAAGGGAAGGCAAAATAGAATCACAAGTCTTGCAATGCCCACATTTAAAAATACCTTTCGTGGGTGTTACCACATGAGTCCTTGAGACTTTTTGCTCTCCTAAAGTTCATCGAAGGATATGGTAGAATCACATCTTTCAAGTTAGAGTCACGTCTCAAAATTCTTGAGGAATACTTTTGTTACCTTCCAATATTTGTCAAACGTACCCATTTTTTGAGCAGTACGGATGGAGATCTACTACAGGAAGGCTTGTGTAGACGCTCTGATTTATTTGCTGAACTTGCCATGAGCTGATGTGCTTCCCTGGGGTAACTTTAGGCCTCGAATCTCTCTTTCTTAACTCCTAGCCACCTTTTCAAAATCAGACAAGCTGGAACAATTTCACTTTGCACGTAAATATTGTCCTTAAGGGATATTGGTTCTCGAATGTCGGGGATGATAGCAAACTATTTGTGGCAGTTTTTCTAAACAAAGTTGTTTCCACCCCGCCATCTTCCAAGATGGTAATGTTTAAATCTAGAAATACCAAATTGTAATGATTTTAAATAATGTTGAATGCCGTAAATAAAGCATACTAGGGTTAATGCTTTAGAGGCACCACTAGGGGTAGTATGTAGGATTAACTTCCATTAGATGGTTTGCTTATGCGATGTGCTTCTGGCAGTGACATCATAGGCCGGCCTACTCTAAGGAAGTTACCTTTCAGAAAGCATCCCTTTGGGAGTAAAAACCAGATGTAATAGAAATTAATTGTGCCCAGAATGTAGAGTATCAGCTAAGATTCCTCAGCTCCAGTCAAGGGCTCTGGACATTTGTAAGTTATGTTGTAGTCTCTCCATGTTCTCTATTACATTGTACTGTAATCCATTGTTATTGCTAGCATCTGTTATAGCCTCTGCTACTTACTAGAATAATATTAAATATACATTTAAGGGGGCGGGCCTGACCGCTGAGCTGAGAGGACGCTTGCCTCAACAGCTCCTGCTATTTCAGACACCAAAACAGCACTGAAATGGCACAACAATGCCACCAAGTGACAGGAGATACTGGGGCACACGCACAGAAACCACCCAAGCGACAATGTAACAAAGGTGCACCTGTAATTACGGCGAGGCCTACCAGCTCTAGGCCCCCATTCCCTTCTCCACCTGGACCGGGAGGGGTTATCCCGGTCTACCCTCACTCGATCCTCCAGCAAGGTGACGAGACTGCAACACTGACACGACGTCCTGTGGACCCTGGTGAGGCACATAAACTGGCGGAGGCCTCCCACACCACAGCTCTGTGCATTGCCAGGAAAGAAACAGAGCTCCAGCTTGCCGCAATATTCAGCTCCTACTGGGAGAAGCTAGAGGCCTGTTTGCGACCTAACCGGGAGACCCAGCCAGAGGGTAAGCTACAAAGCCCGACACAGGTGGTCACACAGCGGGATGCAGGAACTCCCACATGCTCCACACGCATGCAAGGCTGGCGCTGTAGAGGTGTCATCTCAAAACCAGACTCCTGTAGCCTCATTAACTACAGTGGCAGCCCAAAATCTGCTCTCAGGGCCACAGGAGCGAACAAGACAAAGTGCCCAAGACTACCTCACCAGCTAGCAGTGACTCTGAACAGGCCCAGTGAAAGCACAGTGCAACCGAATTGTGTAAGGAGAAGGCTGGGTGTGAAGCCAAAAATGACGGCAACACCAGGTCAGACGAGCAGCAGCCTACAATCAAAATATGGGGCACTTTCAGAATTGACACTCACGATGGGAACTCTGCATACCCCACCAAACGTGCTTCCTTTCCACACTGGGACTATCGGAGACAGTATCCTGCCGAGGTGAAACACCAGCCCATCTGTTAGGCCTCCAGGGCCGGCATCGGCTGAACAATAAGGACTGAGTCAGGGGCTAGTTCTGGTCCAGACCACCTACAAGAGGATAGTCTGCACAGCCAACAATCAGTTTGACACATCTATAAGCTTCTGTGCCTCTCTGCTCATCCCTTTTTTTAGAATTAGAGATAGTCATAAGGGCAGTTATTTCTCTTCTATTTGATTTTAAGCGACCAGTGCCCATTGGTACTTACACTAGCTAGCTAAGCATGTTAGTTCAACTTGTATACATTACACTACTGTTTACTCTTCCTACTGTAAAAAAACTAAACAAAAAAAGTGCAACATTATTCATGCCAAACAAATGTTCTTCTATGTATGTTGAAATGCTGGCAACAGCTGGTGTGGCAATGTGAGTCAATATGTCATGCATTATCTATGTACGAAAAAAAAAAGAATTAAAAAAGATATATAAATTTAAAATTACATTGTGTATTTTCTATCCACATATTCAACCATAATACAAAAACAAAACAAAACAAAAAAAACTGTAAATACTAATGTAACTTATTGTATGTGAATGAAAAGATTAAGATTCATATTTAAGCAATGGACACAACACCAATTCCCTGTCGTCTGTGACATGTGTTTGTGTTAAATCAATGTCATTATTATTGAGAAACATCACCATTTCCTCAAATAGTGCTCTGGGGCCAGTCCATAAAATATGAGATCATCTCAAAAAAATTTTAGTAAATTTTGAGCTAGTAGACATGTGCACCATAGTTTCCTCACACTAACTTAAAAAGGAGGTTGGTATAACTTGGCGCATAGGCTGACCCCATAGAAGTTCCCTTGAGTTGGAGGTAGTATTTTCCATTGAAAGTAAGGCAATCATGTGTCAGAGCGAATTTGAGCAAGGCTAAAATTAATGATTTTTCAATAGTACTAAACTGATTTGAATTCTATAATAATAAAAAAATAAATAAATACATAAGCACAGGCTTTCAGACCTTTTCCATGAGGAATGTTGTATAATGAAACAAAGACTGGTTAATAGGGTATAGGGAGAAAATGTCACGTTTTCCAATACTAGAAGTGATTGTTTGGTGTCACGCAAAAAGGACTAACTTGGAGGCCAAAGGTAGCATTAAGGCATCTATAAATTTACTGGCTCATTCTGTCAAGCTGCTATTTCCAGAATACAATGGGTCTTGCAGGAGTATTTTCAAGGTTCATTTGTACCTTTGGAAGCATGAAGAACATTACTACAGTTAAATTGCTGAGACTCAATTATTTATATTAAAGGGACACTATAGTCACCCAGACCACTTCAGCTCAATGAAGTGGTCTAGGTGCCAGGTCCCTCAGGTTTTAACCCTGCAGATGCAAACATAGCAGTTTTAGAGAAACTGCTATGTTTACATTGCAGGGTTAAGCCAGCCTCTAGTGGCTGTCTTCCTGAGGCGCATCTTCCTAGAGGCGCATTTGCGATGCTGGAGGCATATTATGCCTCCATCTCGTAGAGCGTCCATAGGAAAGCATTGATGGAGCTGCCGTCGGCGGGGGAGGAGAGGTCACCAGCGCCAAGGGAGCCCGGCGCTGGAATAAGGCAAGTAACTGAAGGGGTTTTAACTATTTAATCAATAGAAATAGTATTGTAATGATATTGATGTTACAAAGTTTTGGAGTCCAGTAGCCAGATCAGCAATGTTTTCTGCCAGAGGTAGCCACTCGTTACCCAGGTGGTTGAGCCCCTGAGCCTTGAGTGGCCTTCTGGTCTTAAGCAGAGATGGGAGACTGGAACAGAAAGATGATAATCGTAGTGAGGCAAGCCGAGGTCAGTGGGAAGGAGAAGCAGCAAAGTCAAAACAGTCCAAATTCAGCAACAGGAAGGAGAAACAGGAACATGCTTGATTAGAGAGTACAGGAACCACAATAATCTGGCAAAGGTACAGAGACAGGAAGTGGCTTTTATAGGCCAAGAACCAGACACCTGACCAGACACAGCTGAAGAGAGTTGTCACTGATAACCTTGACTCTACAAGCAATGGTATCAGATCTCAGGTAAATTTGCAAAAGGCAGGCTGGTGTACTGGTAAGGAAGAGGTTTAGCACCATGTAAACCAGGGTTCGAAACCCAGCAGAGTCAGTTCCTCACAAGTATTGTTCATTCATGCCAGGTGCACATTTGCCTTTAAGTCTCCAAAATAAAAAAATGAATTTAACAAAGGATCTCCGTTATACTTTATAGAAGGAAGTGTCTGATAGAGGAGTCATGCATATGTCTATGTAGTGTTGCTTATTCAGGAGGACAATATAGGCACATAAGTGCCTGCCTTTCTTTGCATGTGAGATTTTTGGTTAGTCCAGAGAGTGACTCTAATTTGTTGGTGCACATTTGTACAAATAGATCCACACTTGGAATCTCTAAGACTTGGAATAAACCAACTCAAGAGTTTAAAGTGTGTTAGGGAATTAGATGTGTCTTGTTCAGAAAGCATATCTACCAATGATTGGTTGAATTCAAAATCTCCAGAGGTCAGACCTCTGTCTTGCATGGTTTCCAAATTCTTATTTTTGTGTAAGGCATGAAGGGCCCGTTTACACAAATAAGAAAAGTCCCACTGGGCACATTAATAAGGTATATTCAGTAACGGTGTGTCTCGCATAGGCTTTAGTGCTCCAGAGGGATAGCCCCCTCCAGGGATTAACATCAGTAGGTTATTTTAGTGCTATTGTTGATAGTACGGGGGGTCAGGAATTCTTGTTTGTGGTCCTGACCCTATAGCGTTCCTTTAATTGCCAAGTCAAGTCAAAGTATTCTGTAAGGAACATTCCCATCAGTTCCATTCCCCCTAAATCTATTTTAGAATATTTATCCTGAAAGGTATTTGTAGATTCAAATGCCTCTCTCTCCCCAGTATGACATTCATGTAGTACATAATACAAAATAATCAATCAATGGTGGAATCTAGCTGCCTAGCTAAATGTGTACCTTACCTGCTAATTCTGCCGTAGCACGATCAGCATCATCATACTCAAACTCCACATTGATGCAGTCCAGAGAGCCCTGTTGATGAAATTTAGAAACAATTGAGAATGATCAAATTTAAGTTGACAATTCTATTCCTACCATGTTACAGAGTTCACTATACCAGTTTTATTTAAGTATTCTATATATTTGAACTCCAAGCTACATCTGCTGCATTGCATATATCCTAAAGCAGGGATAAGCACCACTGATGGATACATTGTTAATGTCTAGTTTATTCGGACATGCTCTATGTTCCCTGATTTTTTTATATTCTACAATGACCAGGCACAACAAATACATCCTCAGGTGGGAATTTAACCGCCCATACCTTCTACCTAGAGATCTGAGTTTCTCACTTGGCTACAATTACTACAGTCATGGCATTGGTATAACCGTATTATACTACAATATATACTTTTTTGGGGTTTTAGTACGGCTTTGTGAGTTCAAGAGTGAGTTTAAAGTTGCTCTGTCATCTCAAACTTACCTTTCTTCTATCTTTTCCTCTTCTCTTCCGTTTTAAGAATCTGTTCTTCATTTCTGATCTATTTCTCTTTAAAACATAAGAAAAAGCAGGGACTACCCTGTCTTATGTATTTTTCCTACGCTCGGCAATCTTTACAAAGGGTGGAGTTTATGGCATAAGGCAATCTCCTTTTTCTTTGTCCAGATAGTGGAGCTTGCCTTACACTCCAGCCTGTCAAGCGAAGGAAAAATACGTAATACAAAGCAGTCCCTACTTTGCCTCGTACTTTAAAGAGAATAGATAAAATATTAAGAAAAGACAAAAGACCGCAAGCAGCCATACTGAGAGGACGCACATGCCTCGAGCTCCGATCTAATAAAGCTTAACTAAGTCCAAAAATGGAGGAAAACCTACCCTGAAAGCACCCTTGGAGGCAGCCTGTTCCCCAGAGGGCATGGGGCGACATAGCAAAAAGCCTAAGCCGGACAGACCCCCTACCACCGCAGATATCGGAGGCCTCAACACTCCCAAAGGCCCACAATGGCGCCGCAGATGGAGAGCCGGTACAACTCGTCCAGCGAGGCATCTGTGCCTGAAGAGGGTGACTGCGGTGAACGGGCTATGAGCAGACTGATCCACTCTCCTACACAGCATCCGATCATAGAGGCGACACCGAGGGACATGCTTGGTGAACTGCGCCGCAACATTGCAGGTGACATCGGCAAGTTCCGCGAAGAGATTAGCAGTGTATCAGCCCGACTGCAAAACACAGAGCTTAACACTGCCGCACAAGAGACCCGACTTGTGACAGTAGAGCAGAAACTCCTGGCCCTGCAAAAGGTCCAAAGACAACACCAAGACAGCATGGCAGCGATGGAAGATAAAAGGCGCAGGAAGAACATCAAAGATTGCGGCCTACCTAATGCAGTGGAGACAGATGAACTACCACACCTATTTCGCAGAATGTTCAGCACGCACTCAATGGCCAGACAGGTCAATGGGATGCCCCTGGATAGCTGGTACCGGATCTCCAGGCAACAGACAGGTACCACAGAAGGGGGGAAAGATGTAATCATCCGATTCCAGCAAGGCCGAGACTGCCTAGCCGTCATGGCAGCCATGCATAATAAGACCCCTTTACACTTTGAGGGTTATTCCTTAACCTTCTACCCCGATCAATCCAAGGCCACCATGGACTGGGGACGGTCCCAGAGACCCTTAACTAAAGAGCTCCAAGCACACAACATACCTTACCGATGAAGCAAACTGCGCACACCAACACCATGAGCCCGCAGTCTGGAATCCCATTACAGTGCGCCCATTCGTACTAGTGGCCCAGAGAGGAGAAGCAGCATCCACATCGGTGCCCTGAACTCTTTGCAACCAATGCGGCCTGATGCTGTAGAGTTTTGTTTATTATTTCTGAAACCTCCATGACTACTGTTACAAATTTATAGTTTTGTCTTTAGTACATTTGTGTGAGGGGCAAAAAAGGCCATAAGGAAGTAAAGGGGGAAATAAGTTGGCTGAGGTGTGCCAGAACCGACATCGTGGTAGGCCTGTAAGAAAAGAGGGCCCACCCATGAGGTGTAATGAAAAGTATAGATAGAGGGTGGGGACAAGGAAATCGCTAAAGATACGTACGGGACGGAGGAAGGTGAGTAGGGAGTTTAAGTAGGGTAACATGCCCCTCCCATAACTGCAGGCCAAGCCTTTACATATGTCATAAGAAATGTACCTCTTAAGAGAATTTCCCACACACTGCTCCAGCTTTTCTTCCCTTTACCATCAGATCTACTGATAATACCACCCCATTAGCTTACAAGCCTCTTTAACCTGGACCCTATTCCACTCTTCTGTATTAGAGGCATCTCATGCACCCTGCCCCGCCTGTACACACAGAATATCTATTTCGCGACCTTAGACAGGGGTTGCATACTAGGCTCCCACCGGTAATAGCAACAAAATACACAAAAAATGTGCTATGTTATTGATGCCTACAATTGTTTACTTGCATTGAAAGAACAACTTGCACTAGCTGTTGTAGCTCTGCAAGCCTATCTGTAATGTTTTTTGCACTACAAAAATAAAGAATTTAAAAAAAAAGAAAAGACGAAAGAAAGAAAATAGCAGAAAGGTAAGTTTGAGAGTCACTTTAAGAGCAACAGGAAGTCTAGTACTAGCATACCAATTGATGCTCTGCAGGAACCCAGAGTGCACAGTTTAATGAATGGCAGATACTAGCAAAAGGACATAGTGGGCAATCAATAACATGCGGTCATCAAGGAGATGCTGGAAGGGGAGCTTGTTTCTCTGATTTAGTTATCTCGGGAAGACTGGCAAAGTTAGTATTACAAAGGACAAGTGTCTTTTTTAATCTTACACTTTATAAAAGATCTATTTTGCAATGTTAGTGGTTTATCTATGAATAAAAAAAATTAACCAAGTTTTACTTTAAAGGGACTCTAAGTACCAAAGCCACTACATTTTAATGAAGAGGTATTAGCTCATATACCATGTCCCTTCTTTTACAATGGAAAACATTGCAGTTTCTGAGGAATGAATTTGGTAGAGAGAAAGTCTCTAGTGACTGTCAGACTTGCAGCACTTCCTACATCATTTGATATTTTAGTGCCTGTAGTATACATTAGCCATGCTGTAGTGGTTATGGTGCTTGAAATGTTCCTCTGCTTTCATTTAAATGAAACCTTGTTTGATACACCACACATTGATTCAATGTATCTATTTCTATGTTCTATGCTGTTTATCAGAGCTTTACTTTTCCATTTTTGGCTTGGCCTATCAGACCCTCATGCCAAGGTGTAATTTGCAGGTCAATTTCTGTTGATGCTGGAGAGATCGGGTTTTAAATAATGACCAACACTGCTCTACCAGCTTAAAACAAATGCTCAATGACCATTTAAGAGTAAATGCATGCAATTTATGGTTTACGATCAGCAAGTGACATGAACACTGGTGTCCGCAGGGACTTGTGTATGCACCCTAATTATGGCTCTCCTTAAAAGAACACTGAGTACCACAACTACTGTAGGCACCTGGCACCATCCCATGGGAAGTACTCAAACCTCCCATACCCCATTAAGAAGACTTCTCCTGCAAGAGAAGCCAGGTTTCTCTATAGAGCTTAGCCTGGCTTATACAGGGTTGCACTCATTGGTTGAGAGTGCTCAAACGCCACACTCAGACAATCTATGGTCCTTCTTACCTCTCTAAAGCTAACTGGATTCTCCTAAAGGAGAAGACCAGGTTCAGGATATGTGGCCATGTACACCCATCAGGACCAAGATAAGTTGGTTGCTTTAAAATACTTTGACTACCTACAGTAGGACAATGCAAAGACACCAATCACACCATAATCACTACAGAGGTTTGTAGTTGTGCTTGGAGTGTACGTTTAAGTTGTACTAGTGATGACTAGAGCTTAAATGTTAAAGTACTGTACTAGAATAAATTGGTAATCTGCAGCTCATTCTCTATTTAGTGGAAAGTCTCACTAGTCATGGAGCAAAAGTAAGAAGGTTTCTTAGTCTACTTAAATGCGCTGCACACTTGAATACATTCAATACAATAAAATGGTTTTATATTTCCATCCTCAAAAATTAGGTATAATAAATGATGGGATACATGTATAAAAGTGCGCAGGAAAATAAATATATGTTTAAGGCCAAAGGCTTGTATTTGTGGAAGGGGTTTATCCTATAAAAACCCTGTCCCCCCCTTACTTGAGCCGTTCGGCCGTTCCGTTTCAGGTCATCACACCCACCTCATCCCTTAATTTATTTATTCCATTCATCTCCTTGGTGGGCCCTCCCTTATTTACAGGCCTATCCATGTGTTGGTTTTGGCAAACCACAAACGACTTATCACCACCACTAATTAATACATACTACTATCATGTTTCTGAAATGATTTTTATAATCAAATAGTGGTTATAAAAACTGAGCAATAATTAACTAATTTCAAGTTACAGTTTTTATTATGCAGCTAAAAGTAAGTTAGTAAGTGGGCAACATAATGTATAGCATTAGATGCTTCACTTTGAACAGAATATTTTATTCATCCACGCAACATTTAAATCTTTAACATGCCTAATTTTTGATCCAGGCCCGAGTATGTCAGCTTAGGGCATGCAGTAAGCACTGCAGAAGCTAAAAATAAGTTGTTTGCAGTCAAATCAAGCTGCCTACCTATTTTTGGAACTGTACTCACTTCTAAATACAGTACCTTTGCAAATATAAACTTTAATATGGTTAAAGTATTTTAATCTAACACTTCAAACAAAGAAATCACTGCGGTGGTTATGGTGCAGGGATTGCCCTCTCCCAGATATCAGTAGTCAAGCCATTTGCTAATGATTTGACAATTTATCTTGGATCCAATGGCCATTGTCTGATTCTTCCACTTTTGAGATAAGCCCTCCACTGCCAGGCTGCCTCAGTGAATAGGGCTTCGGGATCTTATGACAGACTTGGCCAGTGGACTGCATACCCAAGTTAAGTTGTTTAACCACTACTTACACAGGGGAAACCATGGCACTCCTAGCACCATAAAACACTGCATCACCCAGGTAGTAGTTATAGTGCTTGTAGTTTTCCTGTATTGATATCACCAGAAGGTTTATTATATATGTGAATATTATGCAGTGAAGGATCTTTTAGGGACTTGCAGATGTTGCTCCCTGGGAGTTGTATTCATGATGAATGGTGCCAAGCGTTGCACTGTGAACGTGCCCTGCACCAATCATCACAGAGTCACGGTGAGCAGCGCATCCAAGACCCTCTCACATTAGCACGTTGCGCGTGTTCACATGCTAACTCATTGGTATGATAGCCAGAAAGTGTAATGCCTTGTTGACAGTGAACCTAGGCAGAGCTACTAAAGTTCTGCTTTAGCGCACTGTTTGACAAACTGAAAATGCATTTAATTGAAAGAAATCAAAAGGTGGTCTCCTAGTACCATAACCACTTTAAAATGTTGAAATGGTTACACCATCACCATGTCAATGATTTAAAGTGGTCGTGATGCCTGTATGTATAGGTTATACTTTGAAAAGATGCACAGAGATGAACCCTTTTACTGCTGTAGGTGTAAGTCCACGTCTAAAAGCGTCACCAGCCAGAAAAGAGTTTCAGACTGACTAGTATCAATTCTGTGCATAATCGGCTTAGAACGCCAGCACAGACAGCATACTGGGTATGGACACAAGAGTTTACTCCAACCAGAACCAAGGTTTTAGAAAACGCTGGTTTTTAACTGAAGAAACCCCTTTAAATGAGTTATGATGTCTGGAGTGTTCCTTTACAGATGGCTGCCCTACAAAGCATGGGTAGAACAAGCAATGCATTCGGTATCTACTTATAATGATGCAGCACAAAATCATACACACAGAAGTTATTATACATGTCATTTTTATTTTAAACATAAAAATTATGACCCCTTAACTTGAAATGTAAGAAAAACAAGAGATCAAGTAGGCTTTGACCCACTGAGCTTACAATCTACAATATATTTATGCACTAGATATAGGAGTACTATTTCCATAAACTGAAAGATTTGGGAACACAACCATTGACAGGTGTTTGAGGATTGGAAGTATGGGACAGGAAGGGGAGTTTAGAATAGAAGCTATGTTTAGACAGGGACAGGGTTATACTCCGTCATAAGTAAAAAAACAAAAACAATGTTATTCAATAATCCAAAAACTGAGCAGACAATTGCAAGTTTTAGTTCAAAGTCTCGAACTGCAATATAGGGGAGGGAGGGGGAGTGTTGTATAAAAGTTCTAAGTAGTTTATCAGAGTAGCTCTCTGTGTGGTTTATTGCTCTCAGGCTGTGTGGCTGCTGACAGTATACTCCCTGTCTGTATCCATGTTAGCAGTCTGTACACAGAGAACTAGAGCAGAGGGCACGGAGTTGGATGACACCCAGCTCACTGCTCCCACAGTATGTACTAACAGAGAGTAAACAAGTCACCGGCAGCACTGAGTGCTCGCACTGGGGTACACAGGCTGCCAGTCTCTGCCCTCACCGGGGCATTAACCCCCTCCTGCCCGGCCCCCAGGCTCACCTCGGGCTCCCTCTTCCTGCCTTTCCCCTCCATGCCGAGCGTGCAGCTGTCACTTTCCAGCTCCCACTGACAACCACGTGCTAATAGGGGGCGTGACCCGAGGCATCCCTCTCAATGCAACCCGCCCATTGGCCATGGAGAGAGGGGCGGGGAAAACAGAATCTTATCAATAAAAGAATGCGGGCGGGGGCGTGGTCTATGGACAGTTTATACCAGGTGCAGGAGAGACAGACAGTGACTGACACAGTGACAGCTTCAGTAATATTACATGGGACACAGTGACAGTACCAGTAATATTACATGGGACACAGTGACAGTACCAGTAATATTACATGGGGACACAGTGACAGTATGAGTAATAATACATGGGGACACAGTGACAGCATCAGTAATATTACATGGGGACACAGTGACAGTATGAGTAATATTACATGGGGACACAGTGACAGCATCAGTAATATTACATGGTGACACAGTGACAGAATGAGTAATATTACATGGGGTCACAGTGACAGTATGAGTAATATTACATGGGGACACAGTGACAGTACCAGTAATATTACATGGGACACAGTGACAGCATCAGTAATATTACATGGTGACACAGTGACAGAATGAGTAATATTACATGGGGTCACAGTGACAGTATGAGTAATATTACATGGGGACACAGTGACAGTATGAGTAATATTAAATGGGGACACAGTGACAGTATGAGTAATATTACATGGGGACACAGTGACAGTACCAGTAATATTACATGGGACACAGTGACAGCATCAGTAATTTTACATGGGGACACAGTGACAGTATGAGTAATATTACATGGGGACACAGTGACAGTACGAGTAATATTACATGGGGACACAGTGACAGTACCAGTAATATTACATGGGACACAGTGACAATATCAGTAATATTACATGGGGTCACAGTGACAGTATGAGTAATCTTACATGGGGACACAGTGACAGTATCAGTAATATTACATGGGACACAGTGACAGCATCAGTAATATTACATGGGACACAGTGACAATATCAGTAATATTACATGGGGTCACAGTGACAGTATGAGTAATCTTACATGGGGTCACAGTGACAGTATCAGTAATATTACATGGGACACAGTGACAATATCAGTAATCTTACATGGGGACACAGTGACAGCATCAGTAATATTACATGGGGCACAGTGACAGTATGAGTAATATTACATGGTGACACAGTGACAGCATCAGTAATATTACATGGGACACAGTGACAATATCAGTAATCTTACATGGGGACACAGTGACAGCATCAGTAATCTTACATGGGGACACAGTGACAATATCAGTAATCTTACATGGGGACACAGTGACAGTATGAGTAATATTACATGGGGACACAGTGACAGCATCAGTAATATTACATGGGACACAGTGACAATATCAGTAATCTTACATGGGGACACAGTGACAGCATCAGTAATCTTACATGGTGACACAGTGACAGAATCAGTAATATTACATGGGACACAGTGACAGTATGAGTAATATTACATGGGGTCACAGTGACAGCTTCAGTAATTTTACATGGGGACACAGTGACAGTATGAGTAATATTACATGGGGTCACAGTGACAGCTTCAGTAATATTACATGGGGACACAGTGACAGCATCAGTAATATTACATGGGGACACAGTGACAGTATCAGTAATATTACATGGGGACACAGTGACAGCATCAGTAATATTACATGGGGCACAGTGACAGTATGAGTAATATTACATGGTGACACAGTGACAGAATCAGTAATATTACATGGGACACAGTGACAGTATGAGTAATATTACATGGGGTCACAGTGACAGCTTCAGTATTACATGGGGACACTGTGACAGTATGAGTAATATTACATGGGGTCACAGTGACAGCTTCAGTAATATTACATGGGGACACAGTGACAGCATCAGTAATATTACATGGGGAACAGTGACAGTAACAGTAATATTACATGGGGACACAGTGACAGTACGAGTAATATTACATGGGACACAGTGACAGTACCAGTAATATTACATGGGGACACAGTGACAGTATGAGTAATATTACATGGGGTCACAGTGACAGTATCAGTAATATTACATGGGGACACAGTGACAGTATGAGTAATATTAAATGGGGTCACAGTGACAGTATGAGTAATATTACATGGGGTCACAGTGACAGTATGAGTAATCTTACATGGGGACACAGTGACAGTATCAGTAATATTACATGGGACACAGTGACAGTATGAGTAATATTACATGGGGACACAGTGACAGTACCAGTAATATTACATGGGGTCACAGTGACAGTATCAGTAATATTACATGGGGACACAGTGACAGCATCAGTAATATTACATGGGTCACAGTGACAGTCTGTGTAATATTACATGGTGACACAGTGACAGAATCAGTAATATTACATGGGGACACAGTGACACCATCAGTAATATTACATAGGACACAATGACAGCATCAGTAATATGACATGGGACACAGAGACAGTATGAGTAATATTACATGAGGACAGAGTGACATTATCAGTAATATTAAATCGGACATAGTGACAGTATCAGTAATATTACATGGGACATAGTGACATTATCAATAATATTACATGGAGACATAGTGACAGTATGAGTAATATTACATGGGGACAGAGTGACAGTATCAGTAATATTAAATGGGACATAGTGACAGTATCAGTAATATTACATGGGACATAGTGACATTATCAATAATATTACATGGAGACATAGTGACAGTATCAATAATGTTTTTTACATAGAGACACAGTGACAGCATCAGTAATATTAAATGGAAACATAGTGACAGTATCAATAATGTGTATTACATGGATACATAGTGACATCCCTCCCTGTCACTGTGCCCCATGTAATATTACTGATGCTGTCACTGTGTCCCCATGTAATATTACTGATACTGTCACTGTGTCCCCATGTAATATTACTGAAGCTGTCACTGTGACCCCATGTAATATTACTCATACTGTCACTGTGTCCCCATGTAATATTACTGAAGCTGTCACTGTGACCCCATGTAATATTACTCATACTGTCACTGTGTCCCATGTAATATTACTGATTCTGTCACTGTGTCACCATGTAAGATTACTGATGCTGTCACTGTGTCCCCATGTAAGATTACTGATATTGTCACTGTGTCCCATGTAATATTACTGATGCTGTCACTGTGTCCCCATGTAATATTACTCATACTGTCACTGTGTCCCCATGTAAGATTACTGATATTGTCACTGTGTCCCCATGTAAGATTACTGATGCTGTCACTGTGTCCCCATGTAAGATTACTGATATTGTCACTGTGTCCCATGTAATATTACTGATGCTGTCACTGTGTCACCATGTAATATTACTCATACTGTCACTGTGCCCCATGTAATATTACTGATGCTGTCACTGTGTCCCCATGTAAGATTACTGATGCTGTCACTGTGTCCCCATGTAAGATTACTGATATTGTCACTGTGTCCCATGTAATATTACTGATACTGTCACTGTGACCCCATGTAAGATTACTCATACTGTCACTGTGACCCCATGTAATATTACTGATATTGTCACTGTGTCCCATGTAATATTACTGATGCTGTCACTGTGTCCCATGTAATATTACTGATACTGTCACTGTGTCCCCATGTAAGATTACTCATACTGTCACTGTGACCCCATGTAATATTACTGATATTGTCACTGTGTCACATGTAATATTACTGGTACTGTCACTGTGTCCACATGTAATATTACTCATACTGTCACTGGGATCCCATTTAATATTACTCATACTGTCACTGTGTCCCCATGTAATATTACTGATGCTGTCACTGTGTCCCATGTAATATTACTGGTACTGTCACTGTGTCCCCATGTAATATTACCTGTAAGGATCTCACTTGCATATCTGACACCTTTTGTCCTGAACTGACTTTCTCAAAGACAAGTATGTGGGCATGCAATGGATAAACTGAGGAGGTGACTGAGATTACAAATTATCCTAAGGGGTGGAGATGTGACCAGACCTACAGGGCCGGTGCAAGGATTTCTGCCGCCCTGGGCAAATATCCATTTTGCTGCCCACCTCATGTCACTCACTCACTGACAGACACACACTGGCAGACACATTCACACACAGAAACTCATTGACAGACAGACAGACACTTACTGACAGACACTTACTGACAGACACACTCACCAACAGACAGACACACACACAGACACTTACTGACAGACAGACACTCACTCACTGACAAACATACATTCACTAATTCAATGACGGACACACACACACTGACAGACACACAGACATACATACACTCACTCACTGACAGACACACACACACACACAATCTCACTGACAGTCAAATACTCAAACACTCACCTCTCTGGGGTCCAGTGTGGGGCAGCTCCTCACTCCTCCAGTGTGCTGTTTAGTATTGCGGCTCCTGGCATTACAGAGGGCGCGCGAGGGCAGAATCCTAGAGCCATGAATTCTCAGCCTAAAGGTTGCTACATCCAAAGAGAGAACCCATTGTATTCCTTACGAAATGTGCATGGTATTACTGAATAATCAGCCCCTTGTCACCGTGTGCCTAACAAATGCCAAACTCATATTTACAACAATGCCAGGCTGGTTCTTGGAATTAAGCTTGGCACACCTGTAACATATTGGAGGGATGGGTGAGAAAAGACAAAAAGAAAATGTTAGTAATGGCAGTGCAATCTCGTGCACTCCATAAAGGGTCATTCCAAGCATCGTAACCACTACAGCTTGCTGTATTGGTTATGATGCCAAAAGTATCCTGGCATAATTCCCTGTTAATGGGTCAAACCCCTCCTTACCTGGGTCCTGCTGATCACCAAGGGTCAACTCCTTCTGGCTATGATGACATCCAGCTAATGCAGAAGCCAGGAACTCTTGTTCCAATCCAGATAACACTTTTGGCAGAATTTCATAGTGAAACAGACTCCAGGCACCATAACTACTTCAAAGCACTGTGGTCATGGTTCTTGGAGTAACTTTTGTTATACCTTTAACCTCCTTACCTAAAG